AGCAATGAAACGCCATTTGCATAGGCATTTAATGAAACCTCTGGTTTTGCCGTTTGCTCGGGACTTGTGCAGGTGCCTTATTTGGACTTGCCCGTGCTGCGTATTGCGTAAAGATGGTTCAATAATTTTCCTCGATGCAGACATCAAACCCTTTGGCACGGCGCGAGGCGATCCTTCGAGTTAATGAGAAAGTTCCGTATCCGCGAGCTCGTTCGACCGAAAAAGCGAGGAGCCTTTGACACTTCACCCACGGCGCGAGCATTTTGACACTCAATTGCGCCACAAGTTACGTGAAAGTCCCGGCCAGGTCTCGCCCTTCTGAAGGAGCCAGGATTCTACGGACCCGTGGATCGGATCGGATCGGGACAAGGTACTTCCTCAGCCGACACGTCAGCCTGACTCCTACTGATAAAGCTGTTAAGTTAACAGATAACGTGTTGATCCAACGCTCCTCGCAGCGGGTGTCCGCTTGTCCCGGGCGTAGACACCCGGGTCCCCGTTGAGTCAGGATCGGGATCAGCGCTCCGCTTTCGATCGATAGTTTTCAACGCTCCCTTACGGCGCGTCTCGATGTTCGATACATATCGCGCCGTGTAACTGGACGTTCGCTGAAGGATCGATTCTCGGGGGGTCGGAGATCGAGGTGAGGATCGGACGTGGAGGGCAATCCTTGTTACCACAGTTTCATTTCCATACAATCGCTCGTGTCTTGCGTCTGGTGTCGCTCCAATCTGTCCCCTCCCCTCCGCCCCCTCGGACGATTGTGGCTCCCTCGCCACGCCAGACATAGGGTCGCCAGGTTCTCTGTACGCGGATGACTCCATGAATAGAGGTGGCTCGACACCTCGCGAGTGTCTATTGAACGCATAGTTACAACTTAGTTTCATACTGGTACGCATTAGAGTTTAAAAAAAAAAAAAAATTAATTTTGACTCCAATTTTAATTTTTGAAATTTCTTGGCTTTGTTTTCCCCACGAAATGGTGTGGACCTAGCACCATTTCTCCACCTTGTTACATACAGTTCGGGCCACTTCTTAGTGTTTTTTTTCTCGTTACAACTAAAGTTTGAAGCTATTTTTTACGATTCATTTTGAAACTTTCATTGTACTCGGTGAATATAGCTTGTTACTTGCCATAAAATGGAGGTATTCATCTTTAAATCCTTCAGATCAGAAAATAATAATAAGTGATGTTTTCTAAGACCGCATGTCCAATTTTACCGATGATACCAAACAAGGTTAAAAACATCACCCTCTACTACAGTTGCCCTTAACGACCATTGATGCCCTCCGTCAGGGCTGTAAAAGCGGCTGTTGTATTACCATCTAGAAGATTTTATTATCAAAACCAAAGTCAAAAACATAGGCTACTACCTCTCTTCGAAGAGCAAATTGTAAATTAATCCTAGATAGGAGGACAAGCGAATCTCGAACAGCCCCCTTCAAAATAAAAGGAATAGTGTTTTTGCCTCGCTCACAAATCTGCCCCGAAAAATTCGATACATTTGTATTTCTTTATTGAGAAGTCGTGTTGTGTTAAGATCTATCAAAGTACCTCTGTCGCAATTACGCAGTGATAGAATTCACACGAAGAGCCTGGGAATTTTAGCATATGACAAAGTATCAAAGCTTTCCAGAAAAGGCAAGTATAGGCGCTGGGAATGGAAATTCTTGGTGGCTCTCTTATGAGTTTATGAGATTATCGTGTATGTAAGTATTTTTCAACTGTAGTTTCCTGGGAAAGTACATTTTATCCAGGAACCCCGCAAACTCTTAATGAACGGTGTTCCCACCTAGAGTCGTTATCATGGCACCTTCACGGACGTAACAATTCAAACGCGGCGGTCGTGGGGTTGCATAGTCATATTTTCGAAGGCGATTCCTGCTTCTTTCATTCAGGCCCTTAGACTCTGTAATCATGGCACTTGGACGGACGTAACAATTCAAACGCGGCGGTCGTGGAGTTGCATAGTCATATTTTTGAAGGCGATTCCTAATTCTTTCATTCAGGCTCTTAGACTCTGTAATCATGGCACCTTGACGGACGTAACAATTCAAACGCGGCGGTCGTGGGGTCGCATAGTCATATTTTTGAAGGCGATTTCTGCTTCTTTCATTCAGGCTCTTAGCCTCCTTTCCCCGAGAGACCGAAGGACGAACGGGCCCGTAGGTGGTTCCCGTTTGCCCATTGTGTGGCGATAGCCGATGTCCTCTTGCACGAGTACGTAATGCTGAAGCCGCAGGATTTCCGGCACCCTCACTGCCCTCACCCATCCTCCGGGACTCGAGGCTCACGATCGTTCACACTATGTGGTCACCGATTCCGACGGACTGAGAACAATTTTCAGCCAATAAAAGCGGACACTGTACGACACGTAGGTAATAACGATCATAATCGGGGTCCTGCCCTCTCCTCTCCACAGGACGAGCGAAATTATCCGCCACGGCTCCTCAGACGCAGAAATAGCGTAAGCCCATAAAGTAGGGAAGTCAAGCCGTGCTGTGATCCTATCTACGAATCTAGTCTGCGCTGCGGCGTTTCTGCGTGTGAGCGCGTGCACTCGGAGCGTGTAACCGCTTTGTATAGTTTCTGGAAGTATCCCAAACGAGTACAAGGGTCAGCTTTATCGTTATGAACCTTGAAAAATTGTCGGGTCTTTTTCTGCGCTGAGGGAAGAGGATCAAAACATTCTTCAAGCTGAAGTAGAAAAGAAAGTTTGTAGTTATTTGAGATGCATCTTTGGAGCACATGATGGCATAGCCAACTGAATTCACTTCAAATAGCCTAGGCCCAAGCTTAATTGGATTACATTTTGCAATTTGAAATTATAATGGCACATACGTTGTTTTTAAACTGGGCTAAAATTTATAGTTCTAAATTGCAAAATGTAGTCCAATTGAGCGTTGGGTGCAGAAAGGGCGTATCTTGGTTGTGGTCTCTCAAAAGAAGTCCGATCAAAGTCTGACACAAAAGAACACGAATCGATATAATCGGGTGTCATTTGATAGTTCCAAAAGAGGCCTATAAACTGTCAGAGGAATTTTTTCATTGGAAAATGGGAACTTTGTATTCTAGATGCTTCAAAATCTGAGTTTTTTGGGGGGAAATTTCGGAGAAAAGCTTTTGTAAAAAAAAGTATTGATCTAATAGAAAATCCCGTTGACAGTTCAAAGTCAAGCTTCTCCTTAATTCATCAAAACAAACAGCAAGCCTCCAGCTTAATTTGGGCGTGAGAATATTTTTTCTAGTGAACAGAAAAGGCGGAAAATGTAAGTGCTCTAAAACGACTAAATTTTATTCATGTAAACTCCCTTCAAAAGAAAAAGCAAAAAAAAAGAAAAAAAGAAAATCACTGAAAAAAATATAAAAATCAATAATTAAGGTGTCCTGCCGTAAATAAACGATTGGTTATGATAAAAAAAAAAAAAAAATCATGCGGCGAGGTGACGATAATCGCAGTCCGGAATTTTATTTCCTCGCTCTAGCAGGAGCTCAGCGTAAAATATATAAATAGAAAATTGTATTAAAAAAGCTTTCTCCTCAGCTTTCATCGCGTCTAAACTTTACCTCGAGTTATTCCGTTTCCTATCTGAAGTCTCCTGAGGCAAAAGCCGTCCCATCCATACCTTAACCCTAATCAAATTCAGGAACAAGCTTTAATGCAAATCCCGCGATTCTTTTTCCGACCTTTGCGGCTCAGAGCTGTCCATCGGAGGGAGCCGCGAAACTCTAGTGTAAAAATGTCGGAGACTGACAACGAAGGAATCAATATCTTTTCAACGTCACAGAAAGAATCTCAAGACCAAAAATAAATCAGTTACAACCAATAAAAGTTTAGAACTGTACACATTGGTAAACTTTTTTATTGAAATCTTTTTTTCTTTTTTCTTCTATGTTTTCTTTTCCATGAAAATGATGGACTATCTCTAAAATCTCTCATGAGTAGCCGTTAGTTAGTCTATGCACTGGAAAAAAATACACATTGGATCTAGAGTCCAGACTCTTGAAAACATTGACAAGAAAAAATACTTTTGATTCAATCGGATTTTTGTTTGAATCAAAACGAAATCCGCCTAAATTAAGAGGCTTGGCTCTTGATTTAAGCTAGATTTTGATTGAATCAAGAGTACCTACTTTTTCTTGTCGATGTTTTTAAGAGTCTGGACTCTATATCCAATGTGTTTTTTTTTCCAGTGTTCCTTACCTCTTTTGTTCATTTAACCAGCCACTCCCAACAATAGAATCGCTCTATTTTCCCTATATATGCTTTGTCTATCGCTGTGTCTATAAATTTTAATAGTCAGCCCGCTGTAAACCATAGAGAGAAAAAAGGAGGTGAATGCATCTTGTGGATTTTTTACCTCGTGACGTAGGTCGGTACAGCATGGCTAGCAAAATCCGGAATTCAAAGTATGAAAAACGGACTATAACGTCCGATTTGTTTTGCTTGAATTAACTCATGGTAAAATTTGAATTTCAAACACTTTATTTAGAATGACTTTTTTCGGTAAACTACACCATTTCTACGAAAATTGATGATAAAAGTCGTCTGTACCGACCTACGTCAAAAAAAATTCCAAGATGCCCGAAATGCAAACACCTCCTTTTCTTTCTCTATGGCTGTACACGATCCTTTCACCCTTCAAGCGGGCATAGTATCCTCACAGCAGATACAAAACCCTGTAAGCTAACTATGTTAAACCACCTTCCTTGCAGCGATGAGTTCTTCTAGGGTAATGAAATGGGCATTTATTTCGACCATTAGCGTCCTCGCGCCGACCCAGCTTCCGCGTTCATATTAATATCCTTCTTACGACATTTTAATTTACGAAGGCGCATGAGTTGAGCCTGCAACTCTGTTCCGTGCGCGAGTGTCCCATTGTGTTTAATTAGTCGACAATAACCGACCTTTTACTTCTTTTATGAATGAGCCAAATCTGTTTTGCAGCTCACTGCGAGTCGTGTGCATTCATTGCATTTTATCCTCTCTTTGTTTCAGAAATCGAGGCAAGTGAAGCGTGCAAATGGTTACGAGCGGCTGGCTTCCCGCAGTATGCGCAAATGTATCAAGGTAATGGTACCCACATTTATCATTCCCGTAGAGTTTATTCCGGCGGTATGGGATTTTTTCGCCCCTCGCCCTTGAAAATACTGGTAAATCGATGCAACCGCAGGGGAGAGGAAAATTACAAAATCGGAATTCAAATTCTTGTTTTTCATGCTTCTCACGGCTCTATATATTTTTTCTTTGAATGGTAGTATACTAGGTCCTCTCATACAAGCCCAATGTAAAAACTGTAATTGGCAAATATGGCATTTTTGCCAATTTTCAATTTCATTTTCCGCTTATTAACTACCAAAGTCTATGCTACTCAAGTCAAAACTATGCTCATACTAATTCCGTTATACTTTTCGGTGGAAGAATTTTCTTATGTGCTAATTTTTTTTACACAATTGTACCGCGTTTAGCAGAAGGAACCAAAGCACGACAGATATTGCTAAACATAATTGAGCAACTTAATTTTCCACTAGAGAACTTTTGTGCGGATTCCTCTGAAAATTGTAAGAATTTCCTTCGTACTATACAGAAAACTCACTGAGAATTACACAAAAATCCGCACAACCGTTTTCATATTAAGAATTTAATTGCTCAATTTAATTTGGCAATAGCTGATGTGGCTTTGTCCCTCTCTGCTTAACAAGGTACATTTAGAGGTGTCCTGTATCAGAGGAGGAAGGAACCGTTTGTGAAACCATGCACCAGTCATTTGCCTGACGCCTAGGTTGTTTTTGATGACTGATTTGACCTGTTCTGACCATGCTTCAAAAATTCCTTACGGACAATGGAGATGTTGCATGTGTGAGGAATTTGCGATTTGACTGTTGATTCTTATGTAAAAGTTCGTGAGAAACACGATGGTGCCACTGGTTTTCTCTGAAATCAACTCCCAAGCTCAAAAAAAGCTCTCAACTTGAGGCCAAAATGGAGGAGATATCCCACGCTATCCTGAGAGTCCACCTCTACATCAAGACAAACTCTCCATACAAAGATAGGGAACAAATACATTGACAAGGTTGCCGTGATTTTAGTTTTAGAGCCCCCAAATTAGGTAGCAGCCTGGTCAATGTATTTGCTCCCTATCTTTGCATGGAGAGTTTGTCGTGATGTAGAGATGGACTCTCAGGATAGTGTGGGATATCCCCTCCATTTTGGCCTCAACTTGAGAGCTTTTTTTAAGCTTGGGAGTTGATCTCAGAGAAAACCAGTAGCACCATCGTGTTTCTCGCGACCTTATACATAAGAATCGCAAATTCCTCACACATGCAACATCTCCATTATTAGGCCGCAACAGCCATCATACCTACTAGGAGGACGATGCGTCTCTGATGACGTAATGAGCCAAACAATTTTAAGTATCAAACTTGGCGAATTTCCCCGAATGGATTTGCTTAAGTTTTGGATTCACTGCCGACCTCTTTTACAACAAGACGAAAATCTCATGGGGCGATGGTACGCCGATAACATTTAGCTTCCATGCTGGCAGCAATGATGACCTCATCCAAAATTCTCAAAAATGGATGGATGCAAACGTTAGCATCAAGCTAACTGAGTTCAGTTATTGAATTAAGCAGATAGTTTCTTTCCTTTGGTGTGCAACCCTCCCGGTCTGGTTAATAAAGGAGACCAAATCCACTCGCGGAAATTCGCCCTCAGTTTGCAATACGAAATCCTCAAGGCCTTGTTAACCATCCACCTAGAAGGTAGGTCATCAGCATAGAGTCCCTTTATACCCAGAGTTAAGACACCTCACTTTTGGTTAGGCTGAAAGTGGCCTAATAAAAAATCCAATTCTGATTGGTTCTCGCTCATGGAGGCCGAAACGAGTGCACCAAGATGGCGGTACCTCGAATGTGAACAAGAATAATGAAAATATTACCTAATTGTGGTTTATCAAGAGTAAATTGTTATTTCCATCGGTCTCAAATGAAAATAGATTAAGAAATTATTCACAAACCAATCTAATTTTCGTTTTAATTGATCAATTGGTTGATGTTGTTGTTTTTGTGTGACAGACATAGCAGAATTCCTGATCCTTATCCCTCAATATCGTTTGTTTGGGTGCACTCGTTTCGGCCTCCATGGCCAGCCAAGGCCGGCTGCCAGTCAGCTGATAATCGAGTTGTCTTAACTCTGGGTATAAAGGGACTCTACATCAGCATAGAGTCATACTGTAAGTGGGAGAGCTGGCGCCACTTTTAAGCATTTTCCAGGTCCCGATTTCCGAGACTCCTTTGTCACGCCGCGCCGGGTCACTTTTTCGATACATAATCGATTAATTGCTTTCGATACACAGGGACACGGCCATCCGATGTACACAAAGAAGATACGAATTACTACGTACTCCACACCGCCATTTTGGATCGAACATGTATCGAAAAAGTGACCGAAGCTCGGCGCACACCGGGCCCGGAACTCGTCGACCAGAACATGGCACCAGCTCTCCCATTCACATTACGACTCTATGCACTCTATGGTCATCAGTTAAATGTTGGAGCACTGGAAAAAACACATTGGATCTAGAGTCCAGACTCTTGAAAACATTGACAAGAAAAAAGACTCTTGATTCAATCGGATTTTTGCTTGAATCAAAAGGAAATCCGCTTAAATTAAGAGGCTTGGTTCTTGATTTAAGCTAGATTCTGATTGAATCAAAAGTACTTTTTCTTGTCGATGTTTTTAAGAGTATGGACTCTAGATCCAATGTGTTTTTTTTTCTTCCAGTGAGTCCCACAAATGAAAGCTTCCACCATTGCCGAGATAGCAACGGAGAGTCTCTCTTCGTTTATGATTATCTAGCTGTGTCCACCCATGTACATGTCTATGTCTATCGGATAATGTGAGCGGGGAACTACTCGGTTCTTTTTGCAGACCTGCAGTTCCCGATCGACGTAAACGGGGTGCAGAAGGATCACCCGTTCCTGGACGCGGACGCCTTGCAGAGCCTGTTCCGGCGCCTCCACGCCCTCAACCGTTGCGCCAACATGAAATTGGATTACCTCCGCAAGCGGGCCGTAAGTACTTGCCACTCCGTCAGCTTCGCGCCCGCTCCTCAGCCACCTCGAGCCGAGCCCCGAGAAACGCGCCTTTTATTTAATTTATCATTCGCTTTTCTCACCGACCTTCACTCAGTTTCAAATGCCTCCTCGACTCCTCAATATATTATCCCGCTTAGCATCCCCGCCCTGACGTCACCGTCAGCTTCCACCGTTGCCTAATATCCAGGAATATATTCTTCCGAAATCCAGGAAGATGTCCGTATCACTCGATAAAGGTTGAATCGGATATGGAAGGTCAGTTTTACGGGTCATAGAATCGTGCTTTGATGATTGATTCTTGTAGATTCGCTAAAAATAATAAGATCTGTCCAAACGGTAATTTTCTACGTTCAAAATTAGCCGAGCTAGCGCGCTGAAAAATTCGGTTTATGACTTCGTCCACCGCGGAGGTGATATCTTTGGTTTCTTCCACCTTATTTTCATCCGAGGTTCACGTTGAGTAACCAGTGCGAATGTGTGTCTCCCTGACTGATGAAAGCAAGGTGGAAGAAGCCAAGGGTGTCACTACCGCGGTGGATGACGCAACCGTCATAAACTCAGAGGCGTAGGAAGGGGGGGGGCAGGGGGCCTCCCCCCCCCCAGAATTGGAAATGATATCATCTGCCCCCGCCCCCAGAAATTTTGGATGGTGCAAAAACACCTTCAACGGTAAGTCTCTGTCGCCGTGGCCCGTGAAAGGATGCCTATAAATAGAATAACCTGGTGAATGCAACAATTTCAAAGTATTTTAACCTTAAAATGCATAAAACTGGGTGATTTTTAGGCAGAAATTGAAGGAAGATTAGCCCCACAAATGCCTCGAAATGCGCTCAAATAGAGTTAAAATTTCAAACAATTTCCGGGGGAGAAGCTGGGAGATATTCCATATCCCCCAGATCCCCCCGGTGGTGAGGGGCCAGGCCCCCCCAGCAAAATGACCTAAGTACGCCTATGATTAGTAGTCTCTTGCAGAGGGGATAGATAGGTGCAGATAGTTGCTTTTTTTTATATGAGCCAGAACTTTTAGTTCCTTGGTGCAAAAGATATAATGCACTTATAAGGCTCACATCGCAGTCGTCTGCTTAATCTTATATGACTGAAATAAATGTTAGTTCTGCCTGAAAATCTTTTGGAACCTGGCAAGTTTTAGTGAATGCTTAGTTAACTGTTAGTTTGTGAACGCCGGAAGAGCCTTCAAATACTGGCTATACATCCCGCTTTATCGGGAGGGTAGTTTAGTTGCGTGACCCAACTGAACACTTAGAACACCTTCAAATCTGGCGATACTTCTCGCTTGGCCGAGAGGTTAGTTTAGTTGCGTGACCCAACCGAACGCTTAGAACGCCTTCAAATCTGGCGATACCTCCCGCTTTGCCGGGAGGTTAGTTTAGTTGCGTGACCCAACCGAACGCTTAGTACGCCTTCAAATCTGGCGATACCTCCCGCTTTGCCGGGAGGTTAGTTTAGTTGCGTGACCCAACCAAACGCTTTGAACGCCTTCAAATCTGGCTCTACTTCTCGTTTCTCCGGAAGGTTAGTTTAGTTGCGTGACCTAACTGAACGCAACACATTGTTAGTTTACTCATTTTACTGCACGCAGCAAGCTGATACCATCAAAAGAAGCATTACAAACAGTGTTTTCTTTTTCTTCTCTACTTTTCAATTTTTGCATTTTTCATGCGTCACAAATAGAAAGTAAATATTTCGGCAATTAGTAAACATGTAGTATGTTAGTTTGTATTCAGTATGTTAGTCAACCATGCCTTACATATGCCTATAAATAGTATAACCTGTTGAATGCAGCAATTTCAAAGTATTTTAACCCTAAAATTCATAAAACTGGGTGATTTTTTGGCAGAAATTGAAGGAAGATAAGCGCCACAAGTGCCTCGAAATGTGCTCAAAGAGAGTTAAAATTTCAAAAATTTTCCGGGGGAGGCCCTCCGGACCCCCCATTTAGCTGGGGAATATTCCATACCCCCCAGACCCCCTGGTGGTGGGGGGCCAGACCCCCTGGTGGTGGGGGGCCAGACCCCCTGGTGGTGGGGGGCCAGGCCCCCCCAGCAAAATGACCTAGCTACACCTATGCATAAACCAAATTTTTCAGAGCGCGATATCTCGGTTATTACTAAACCGCTGCTTGGACGGATCTCCTTATTTTTAGCTGATCTACATGAATCAAGATCAAAACTTGATTCCACGACCAGAGCAACTGACCCATTGTCGAAACATTTTTAAAAATCGAGGTGTGAAATTTGGTGCCGGGGTCAACATAGCGCCCGAAAACCCCGAGTGATATAAATGCGAGGTGAAATCAGCACCATAAAACGGCATGACACTCAGCAAACAGATTTCGCTCCGTAATAGTGTAAGTCACTCCGTTAGGAGAATAGACTCCGCTCCGCATTTATATCCTTCGGGGTTTTTGGGCGCTATGTAGATTCCGGCACAGAATTTCACTCCAAAATTTTAAACAGTAAAGAAATCATCGAATTTTCCAGTGAATCTTAATCAGCCTCGAGGCCCTCATTTCGGAAATGAGTTGGGTTTGAATCGGCCGAGCAACTAAACCAACTCCGGAGCGGTGCATTGAGTGTCACTTGAAAATGAAGGCGCGTGAATACTTTCAATGTAGGCGAAGAAGTTACCAGTAAAGAAAAACTTTTCCTTGAGGCACTTTAAAAGTCTAGTCCTAAGTCCTAGTCCTTTGTACCAAAACTATTTTTCTCATATATAGTAACTTCTTCACCAGCTTTGCAGTTTGTTGTCTCCTGAACATTTTGATTTTTCCGAGTAGCTGTGTTTTCATTCTAACTGATTCAATTATCATTGCGAATTATCGATATCACCATCGGTATCACGTATCAAATCATATCATCATCGTACGATCATTAATAACACCGCGGATTCCTTCACCCTGTCTAAGAAACGCGTCGAGTGGTCATGCAGTTTACCTACCAACCAATTCCTCACCATGCCTATATTTCCTCTAGTCTCTTCCGTCAGGGTGTTCCCAAGACAAATGGTTTTTGAATCTGAGTGTAAAAGAGGAATATTCTCAAACGAAGTGACAATGATGCCCCGGAGATAATTGCATCTATCGCCTTCTGCTTCATTGAAGAAAAATTGTCGAGTGACTCTAATCGAGCGTTTTGTTAGGTATGTGACCTCACTCGCGTGTTTTTATTCTTCATGCTGCAGACATTTCGCCCGTCATGCGTCGAAGCTTCGGCATGGAATCGCCTCGCGCAGCGGCAGATATATATTTCCCATCGGGGAATGCCAATTGTGTGCTGAGCAAATCAATCCGCAATCCTTCTCAATCGAACCCGTATATCGAATTATCGATGGGCAAAGTGCAAAACCGCGTATCTTCATTTGCGACGTCGCAAACTTCTTGTCTTACTCTATTTTTTGTTTGGAAAAGTAGTCAACGTAATTTCTTGAAAACATTCTGGACTTTTCTCATCTGTTCGTGGAAGATTTTGTATACATTTGAAGCTATGATGTTGGCTTCTTTCTCTGTAAGAAACTGTAATAGGATCGGAAATCTTGATGTACCACCATGCAGATGCGTGATTATGCTCTTTGGCCATCAATATATCGCAGCAATGGGAGGTCATGTTTATGTTTTGATGAGCCCTTGACTCAATACTGTCGTGAGGGAGAACACCGTATAGACTGTCGAGTGGTGCCAAAACTCCCCCAAGCATTTGAGCCAAATTGCGTTTTGAGAAATGTTATAAAAATCTTTCCTTGGAATTTTTACAAATATCAGATAAAATCCAATCGAATTCTTTGAAAAATTTAAAGAAAAATATTCCAAAGTTTCCTAGAAATGTTGTGTTTTATCGAGGGGAATTTGGCAAATTTTAACGGCGCATACGATGCGGCGTTCCATTTTCCCTCAACACGACAATATTTGCGCACAGTCGATAAAAAATGATGAAAGGACGCATCCCTATTTGTGACCTCGTTTTTATAAAGAGCCTATCGAAAAAAGAGTATATTCGTGCCCCTTTTTGGAAACGCAGGGATTTCGTTAAAATCTGTCTCAAACCAAACTTGTTGATAAGGCAATCTTCCAAAGAAAATTTTAGTTTTTTCATCAGCTGATGTTATACTTATGGGAGTAAAACTTGTTGACACTACGATCTAGCGATCTCACTGACTTCAGGTAGAATAAGATGGTCCTATTCTACCTATATATCAGTCAACAGAAGCAACGCGTTTAATGGTGTGGATAACAACGCTTTGACACAACTATTCGCACTCTGTGGACATGCGTGTTGCATATGAAAAAATGGAAGGCGCTCCGGTCGCTCCAGTTCATGAAGCAGAGCATGCAGTAGCGGCCGGTTTGCCGTTATGAATATGTGCTTAGATTAAAGTCTCCGATAAAAAGGACTAAAGGAAACGCAGGGATATCGTTAAAATCTGTCTCAAACCAAACTTGTTAATAAGGCAATCTTCCAGTGAAAGTTTTAGTATTTTCATCCGCTGATGTTATACTTGGGATTGAAACTTGCTGACACTACGATCTAGCGATCTCACTGGCAAAAGGAAAGCAAAGCAAAGGTTTCTCACCATTCTCACGTATCAGGATATTGTATTCCACCGCCACACCGAGTAGTGACTACGTCTAGCTGTGAGCACTGTTTCATGGGCTAAAGTGACTGAAGCGCCTTCAATTTTTAGTACGCAACACATAGAGCACGAATAGTCGGATCAAAGTGTAATTGCCGATATCATTTTCTTACGCTCGGATATCAATAACGAAGCGTTCAAAAAACACTTCGGATGAGCACTCGAGCATTGCCAAATTTCCTTCAATTACATAAGAATTTCCTGGGAAACTTGTGTGAGCCCTTATTTATTAAAGTTTTTGAGAATTTTGTGAGCAGTTTAATCTGATGATCCTGAAAATTTCAAGGCAATATATTCCTTAAGTTATAGTGAAGTTATAAGTTCCTTAAGTTCCTTAAGTTAGTATTTACTTTATAATAATTGCTCATCAAAAGAAATTTGGCAACGTCTATAGGCTCATGCTGTGTTTTTCCTTAGCGCGGTAGAAATGGAAACAGTATTAGTACCGCTATAAGTTTTTATTTAATTATAACCCATTCAATGTTTACCTAACATTTTACAGAGCATCGATGTAATTCGCATTCATTTTTCTCTCCATAACAAATAGGTTGAGGACTCCGACTCAGATGGAGCGGAAGGCTGTGCTCTCAGTGACAATTGGACTTTCCAGCCAGAGTCTCGTAGATGGTCGCGCGTCTGTGATGTACAACCCATAGGTCAAGGTAAGATAGTTTTTTTACTTCTGCTATTTTCTGCTTGGAATGGTATCTAGGATTTCAGGATATACACATTAGAAACGAATTTACTTTATAAACCTGTAAAATTATGTATTGATAATTAGAATTATGAATTGAAATTTAGACTCCATATTCGTGAAAGTATAGAAAGCGTTTTTGTGTAAGAAAATGAAAAAAGATTTTTCTGACTCTAAATGAATCTTTTTGCTGCACAGAACAATTTTAGTTTCTGCCGCAAGGGCCCTTTTTCACACATTTATTATTATACTTTTTATTACATTATTTATTACTTGTATTGCACTTGTCACATTCATCGCTTTTGTGACAACTCAGAATCAGAATATTTTCCACCATTACATACTGTTTTATTTGCTGTTTCAGAAATTATGTTTTTTAGAGCAAGTGCAATGATATTAATACATTTATATATACTTTTACAGCTTCTCCTAATCCAGTTGTGGTGAGATTCGGCAGTATGCCCCAGTCTTGTCTTGCAACAGATAGTGAACTACTCGCTGCAAAGTTTAAACGATCCGGCAGTGAACGACTTCGAGACAGTGCCAAAGCTTTACTTCGAAGGGTCAAGTCTCGGAAGACGAGGCAGCGAGAAGGGCTCACAATCAGTACTCCTCAGGTAAGTTAACATTTTTTGTTTTCTCTCCACAGTTTTGTGTGAAATATTCCATTCTTGTGCACTTAATAATTTTTTTGTCTCCTGAAAATTTGAAAAATGTCAGAAACTTCTAATTTGCTGCTTTTGTTTTACAAAGTTCTAGTGACTTCAGATTTTATTTTCTGTGCTAATGACATTAAATGACAACCTCAATATTGCCCTCAGGGGTTGCCAAATTTGCTTCAATCAAATGCAAATTTGCTGCAAAACTTGTGGATTTTTGTCTCCCAATTTTTCAAAGAATGTTGTTTGCCCTTAATCTGCGGTATCTGAAAATTTCAAGGACAAATATCCGTAACTCTTCAAAAATTACAATTCTTGAGGAAGGAATCTGGCCACTCTCGAATGTTACATGACGTCTTTTCTTAGCACAGTAGAATAGCTTTGAATATTTTTTCCTAGTATCTTCCTTCACCACTCACTCTTCTGATTCCTTCTCTCCAGGTTGTTGATGTTGCAAATATGGAGCAAAGAGTCAAAAATTTGAATTGCTTTGATGTGACGCCCCCCAACACGCCTTCGACTGACTCTCCTCGTCTTGTTCGAGGAGCTCAAGATGACCATTCAACTCATTCAGACTCAGATGTGTCCTGGAAAGGTTCAATTTTCAGAGATGCCAACAGTAATCATACTGAGGTAATGCACTCTTTACAAGGAATAGGTGAACAAAAAAAAACCTCCAATCTCATTTTTTGAGGAAGGAAAGGCATTTCAGCAAAAACAATAAAAATCTTATTGTAGATGTTCTTAGCTTTCAAATGGTCCATATTTTATCGTAAAATATCACAAACTATGTCGTTACAACAATGCCAAACGTCCAGGAAGCCATTAAACCATGAAGCTTCACAGATGAAACAGATTTTGAGATTTTTTGTCAAAGTTTAATGTTTTGCAGAGGTGAAATTTTCATCTCATTTTCAATAAAAGTATCTTGATAAAATCATTCCCAAGAAATTTCTCCTCTCTTGTACAATCTTTTAAATTTATTCTCTTTATATTTTTACAGTTGTTCAACTCGTTAAATGTAGTCAAAAGGGACTGCGAGATTTCACCTGTTAGTAATCAAACATCAGGTCAGTACCTAATCAAGACGTTTGATCATAATCAAGTTTTACAATTTTTTGTATACTTCTCGCCCCCCCCCCCTCCCACCTTTTTTTTGCTCCTTTTCTGAAGCATCTTGTGCTTAATTTTATTGCAGTTCAAATATGGAAAAGAATATAATTTATCATATTTCCTTCTCAGTGGGTAAATTCTAATTTTTATCATAGCATAATAACATAATAACTAGGTAATAAGAAAACCAAGCCAACTTTGGAAATTCTCTAAAGAAATTAATTGTAAAGTTCGATAGTTTGGTAGGTAAAAAGTAAGTGCGAAAAAAAGAAAGAAGTAATGTACTCACACACTACCTGAAATCAGGTATGATAACATTTTTCAATTTATGCTACATTCACTTATAAAAAGCAACTCCAGCACTTGGCTGAATGAATGAGTTCTGTCAAAATGCTAAAATATATTAATTGAATTGCTTAGGTGTGGTAACCTTCAGGTATTTTAGCCTTTGAAGCATATTTAAAATCAATGTTTTCCCCTAAAATATAACCATATTTTAAACTTATAGTTTCTCCTTTCAATAAGAACGGTCCTTCAATGGAAAATTTGTGATTTTTGCTTTTTTATTAAACAATTTTGTCATTTTACACCTCTCATATTAAATTTTTGGACTGTGAGCTCTGTCTAAATATTTTCGGCTCTCACGAAAAGACTTTGCCATTCAAGCATGTGTTTGATATTCTTTCTTTTCCTATTTTGCAGAAGATTTAGATGCCAATGAACTGGGAAGTGCCATTGCAGACAGTGACTCCTCTGATGTAGCCCCAAAACAAAGGTAATTTTTATTGAATTTTTTCCTAACTCATGCACATAATTTCTTGAATGTTCATTGTTTTAAAACTGATTTCCCTAGAATTAATTCTGAAAAGTCACATTTCGATGATCAGGCCTCAAGGTGGAATCTATTATGAAATGCATAAAAGTGAGCACACATTTAGCGGAAATTACCAATATTACTGAATAAGTATTTATAAAGGATTTGAAAGTTTGATGTTATCTTACAAAGTTCACAATTGAAATGAAAACTCAACTATTTTCCCTGAGATTTGCCTCACATTAAAAATTTTTGATTTGAGCATCACTTTCAAAAAGTAATTGCGTTCCATTCCACCAAAAATTTCAAAAATTTAACCGATTTTAGGAATTTCTTTTTATTGTAGCGGATATTTGTTAATAATTTACCATATTTTTCCGAGCAAACAAAGCTTTCTCCAAAAGGAAGCTTACCCTCTCTCTCCTTTTCTCTTTCTTTCCCCTCCCAGTACGTCTCTCAAAGATTCCTTTCAAAGAATTTTGCTGATTTTTTATGAAGAAATCTTATTATTTCTCCTTGCGTATATCTACAATTATCATGTAGTATTCTGCCAAGACTAACCCATGTTATTATTTCTTTTCAGGCCCGGAGGAGCATCTTCAGTTGTGAGATGGCACAGTTTCCAACGTGGCTCCGTCAGACCAAATTCAATTGTTGGGCAGCCAGTTAATTCCTTAACAGCAGGTCAACTTTTAGTTTTACGTAAACTAGCTCTTCTTAGGCTCACCGCAACAATGGAGAAACATTGTCCATCACATCGAACCAACTGGAATTGGGAGTTACCAAAATTTATTAGGAAAGTGAAGACTCCAGATTACAAAGGTAACTTTTTTATGATTCATATCCATTAGAAAATTTCATACTTGGATTGAACTCTCGCTTTCTCTATTATTTTCAGCTTTGACATCACAAGGTTACAAGTGCAAGTATACTTTGATGAATTGAGATCTGGTATACAGTGCCAATATCCTTTTATTCACTTTTAAATATCGACAAGAAAACTGAACAAGACTAGGACTACTAAGGTGAAAAACAAATCCATCATCGATTGACATCTTTTTTCATATTTCATGAGAAATTATCTGACTGCTACAAAGGATCACAAATCAAGCATTACTGTCCGTTTTTTATGAAAATTTCAGCAATAAGTATATGGTAGACATATAGAAATTTCTCAAGTTCACCCCACAAGTTAGTGAGAAAGAGTTTTCTGTGTCCATCAGTCGATATTTTCTGCTCTCTAATAAAACCAGAAGTCAACTTCTACCATGTGGAAAAGCTTTAATAAGTTTAATTTATCTTGACAATCAAATGAACATAAATACAGTTGGCCCCGCTTAATTGGGACACTGGTTAATCGGGACAGCCGCTTTATTGGGACAAAATCGCTCAGGACGGAATCTTTTATATACTACCAAAATACTTTGTTTTATCGGGACACCCGCTTAATGGGGACAAAACCGCCCAGGACGGATGTGTCCCAATTAAGTGGGGCCGACTGTACCTGAGAGTGATCGAAAATGTTACAAAACCAAACTTTTGATACGTATCGAACATTTAAGTTTGTTTTCAATGACTGATTTGACTTATGCAGATTTTTATTGTTTTCACAAGTGGGAAATTTTGAACTGACTGATTCTAATCTAAACTCTAAACTTTAAATGCTTCTTTTGAATGAAGAGTCGTTTTTTGGATTTTCAATGTGTCTCAATTATTCTGTGTGGTATTCAGATGACGAATAGTTGTGTGCGGCCTTCATTTTTAATCTACACATTGGTCCATTATAAGAAGTTATTTTTTAGATAACCCTCGAAAGCCTATAAATGCATTGAATGCGTCTGTTTTTTAAATTAAAGCAAATAAGGTGACGTAATTTCAGTGTGATGAAGGTGTGAATGGCACTGAACAAACAAATGCCATTTTCTTAATCATTTTGCAGGGTCTTTCTCCATCCTGTGGTTCAGCAGACATTTTTAAAGACTATTAATAGTCTCTGAAAATGTCTGCTGAACTTTTTTCACAGTTGATCTCTAATCTATTTTACACTACTGAAGAATATGAAGTGTATCTTTGCATCATATGAAAGTAAGTAAATAAAAAATAATTGGCACGGGCGGAACCTCAATCTCTTAAATTATTTTTTTCCTCAGATAAAACTGTGTTCGGTGTTCCTCTCTCTGTATCTGTGCAACGCTGCGGTGATGCGTTACCACAATGTATTCAACAAGCTCTATCCTGGTTGAGGATGAATGCCTTGGATCAAGTTGGATTGTTTCGGAAGTCAGGGGTCCGGAGCAGAATTCAAAAACTCAAAGAACAAGCAGAAAGTAATTGCATGGATCTTGATGGACAGCAAGCTTATGACGTGGCTGATATGTTGAAACAGTATTTCAGAGAACTACCAGACTCGCTACTGACAAACAAACTGTCTGAAACTTTCATTGCTATTTTTCAATGTAAGTATTACTCTCCCCTTGCAAAAAAAAAGGAAAAAGAAAGTGCTTTGCGATTACATAATATTCACTCTTTATCAAGGCTTAATTTTTTCCTTTTGTTTCTTCGAAAAAATCATTGACAATGTCTGCTGAGTAAGCAAAGCACCAATCAAATATTTTTGAAATTTACTTTACGTGAAAAGAACAGGCAACAACAAGTTGGGCTAAAATGGCACATGGAATAGAATAACAAAGAGAGAGATGGGGACCTTTCCTCTGGCTTGGACTCCTCCTTTTCTGTTCAGCGTAAATGTTACGTTTCCCGTTCATAAGTAAGCTTTGGTCACAACTAAGGTCCACTTGTATTCTTTTACATTGGATCTTTTAATTTTCGGGTGAGATTGAAGTCATTTTTCCTATTAATCTTCCATTTTTGGTGTTCTCTAATACAGATGTCCCAGCAAATTTGAGACACGAAACTGCTCAATGCGCTCTACTTCTTCTACCAGACGAGCACCGAGAGGCACTTTTTACTCTGCTAGACTTCCTTCAGAATGTTGGAGACCATAGCAATGTGAATCAAATGACAGTCAGCAATCTAGCCCTGGTTTTTGCTCCGTCTTTACTCCATGCTCCTCTAACCCTGTCCTCACGAAGACGGCAAGCACCCTCCTCCGGTATGCCCGATGCCAAGCAACTCAGTCAGAACAAAGCTGCCCATGATTGTCTTCTGTATTTAATTAAGTATCATCATCAGCTTTTTATGGTGAGTACTTTTTATTACAGTGAAAACAGTTTGTGGTTTTTGTATCTCATGAAGCAGGCTATCTTCAAGAATGAAAAAGACATAAAGGAAAGAATAGACTAGAAAAAAGAAAAATTGAAAATCACGAAAGATAAAAAATTAAAATATTTTATAGCCAGAAAGCACTACGCAATCAGTTTTTTGTGGTCTGTTTAAACTTGAATGAATGAACCCCCATCAATACGCAAACCTACCTTTGATTAGTAATAATTTTCAGATCCCTTGAAGGGGCTGCAATGATTTCATGGAAAGAAACAGATGTTTTTGCTGAAGTATCTTTTCTTAAATGTTCTTGCAAAATTTAAAACTCTGCCATTAGTTTTTGAAATTACTCTGCTTTTACAGTACACTAAAATTTGTGATTTTTTATGCATATTATCTGACTATTTTAGGTATCAGAGGAGCTTTTAGGTCAGTGTCACTTTAGCGCTCTTGATGCGAGTGTTCCCATTACTTTGAGCGAATTAGGAGCCGAGTTGGGACAAGATTGGAAGGGGTACTTGGCAACCTGCATTACTGCCTTAATGAGAGATGCTAAAGAAAAGTAAGTCCGCAAAGTAATTTTAATATTCTCAAGTTATTCATTCAAAACGATTCTGACTTAGATATTTCCTGTGTGCTTCTATTCTCGCATAGAAGAGAATTTTTCGCATGAGTAAAATGTTGTCTATTTCAACTTTATTCCTATCTTTACTGTGCTCATACAACCATGTGCCAGGAAGATCATTTCATGTGTGGCTGATAAATATTGTAACCTGGACAACTTATGAAGGAGCTAGATACTTGGTGATATCTTGACAAATGGCGATTTGTTCAGAGCGGCTTTGGCAAATGCTAAAATAAAAAATAAATTAGGTCTTTTCTAGACTGGCCTTACATTTTGCAATTTCTTCAACACCGTTTTAAACTTTATCTGTAATATTTTGAACCTTGGAAAACTTTTTTATTTGAATCTCAAGTCACCTCAGTCACCTCCTTTATTTTCTGTTCTCAACATTTCTAATGTAGTCATCATTTATCATTTTTTTCCCTATCAATATTTTGAAGTTTGAAGGTTGATTTGCTGTATTAGAAGTTAAGAGAAAATTGAAATAAATTGACTGTTTCCTTTAGTCTCATTTCCTCTTCTTTAACTTTTATGTAGGTTGTAATAATTGTATNCATTTATATCGAGTCAATTTCTTTTCAATAATATATCGGGATTTATAAAAGGTACTGGTGATTTGGATATTTTAGCCCCAAAAATACCTTTAAATCGACTGTATCTTTCAGGAGTTCGACAGAACTTTTCCTTTCTTCGCTTAAATTATTCCGTAGCACTTTTCTTCAAGAATCTGATAAGATATTGCTGGGGGCAGATCAAAAAACTTAAACTCGTTCGAATGGCTTTCTACATTCACAATACACGGTCTCGTCAAAGTGCGTCGTCGAAGAGTTAGATCGTATGAATTCTCTTGTTGTGCTACTTGCCTATTTTGAAATCTCTGTAAATGAAAACTAAAGGGGTTGATATGTGTGAGTTAATGACGCGCCTTATCAACACATTGTGTTGGAGTTCACTGCTTGTTTTCCCTATCAATATTTTGAAGTTTGAAGGTTGATTTGCTGTATTAGAAGTTAAGAGAAAATTGAAATAAATTGGCTGTTTCCTTTAGTCTCATTTCCTCTTCTTTAACTTTTATGTAGGTTGTAATAATTGTATAATTCTACCTACTGTCATTGCTTGTGGAACCAGTTTTTGACAGTTTATCATCATTAGTAAGGTATTTAAAACGATTGTTTTGACATGTTTACAGGAATAGAGGCTGGGTAGCAGTCATGAATGAAGATAAAATTGATATGGCATACAAGAAGGTTGGAGATGGTCACGCGTTACGTGTTTGGCGTATCAGCATTGAAGTTGAAGCGCCACCCGTGGAGTTACTTCACAGAGTACTACGTGAAAGACATCTATGGGATCCTGCTTTGTCCATGTTCAAAGTTATCACAAGATTAGATTCAGCAGCAGAATTAGTTCATTTTGTCAGGAACAGCATGCCGCCTCATCCTCCAAGAGATTTTGCAATAATAAGGTTTGTTAATGTCTTTGTATGTACCCCTTGAGACAATTAATTCCTTCTATTCTTGTTCTTTTAGTCAAAGAAAAAGAAGAAATTGCCTGAGTGTGCACTAGTGGCTACATGGTCTCAGAGGAACTCACAAGGGGAGGCCTTAAAGTGGCTGTCTTTGATTTGGTGCAAGTTCAAGCTCAGCTGATTAGCGAGTGCTTTTCATTTTTAAGAATGGGCCCTGAAAACACCGCTGATTAAGTTACACAGAGAACATTAATTTTGCATGTTCTGCTCACAAAAGTTGCATTTCCATGAGCGGATTTGGTCAAAGTTTTTCTTTTATTGCCAACCACCGTTACAAAAAAACGCTATTCCTCTCTAAGAGACAGTGCACATACAACATTTGGTTCTCATGCTGGCAGCACTGATGACCACATCCAAAATCATCAACCCACCGCCCAAGGTGGATGGATACCTACAAATGATGGCCAAAAATCATCAAGCCATGAGTTTAGTTCTTGACTTCAGCAGAGCGTTTTTCTCCCCAAGTCTGCAACCCAGCAGCCCTGGTTGAATAATTTTACCAAACCCACAATTCTTCCTAAATTAAAAATTTGGTTAGTCATATTCCAAATGATTTTTGCCTATTTAAACCAACTTTTTTATCTTTTTTCATCTGTAGGAGTTGGAGGAGGGATATAGGAAGAGGCGGATGTGCTGTTGCAGAAACATCCGTTGAGTATGACGCCGCCCCTCTTACACCAGGAGCTGTTAGAGCGATAACTTTAGCTTCACGGTATCTCATAGAGCCTTGTGGGTCTGGTCGATCTCGAATTTTACACCTATCTCGAGTTGACACAAGGTATGTAGAATTTTTTCAAATCTTTGTACTGCAGATCACTTTGCACTTGCACTTTGTGCTTTGTAATCTTTGTATCTTTGTTTTGCCTTTCAGTGTTAAACTGAGAAGTTGATTCCACAAAACTTGCAAGAAGAGCTTCGAAAGAGCCATACTGACTATCAAAAGAGTTACTTCCAAAGTCTTCTCTACTACTTTGGATGTAATATTAACGCGTAAGAAAAATGTGAAGCTCGAATTTGAAAAGCCGTAGGATCTTATTTTTTAAGTGTACAAAGAGCTTTCTGTCCGCTGGAAGCAAGTTGTTTTCCTCAAAACCTAGCCTCCAAGGCGGCTCATCAAAGTTTCAGTAGCCTTTAAATGATGCTTGTATATGAGAATCATTAAAAAGACAGATCTGCCCCAGAAGAACAAAAAGAAGAAGAAGGAGAAAAAAAAACTGAAGGAATTTGTGATGTGCCTATGATTCATATGTTCTTTCTAAAGCCTACCCAGAAAATGACGACCATTTTTACATCATGATGAAAGTTTATTCACAGGAAATCAAGATTTTCCCTGTCAGTAAAACAGGCTTTTTAAGCATAAATTGAAGTTTTTGGAACAGTGATTGAAATGATTGATGAAAAATGATGGTTATTCATGGATTCAGTCGCAAAAATTATGAATGGAAATATCCATGGCATGCCTGAAAATATCGATGGCGAAACTGCATAGTTGCGTATCTCGGTTTTCTGCTCTGCGAACTTCCTGTCAGTTTTATTTTCTGCTTAGGAAACTACTCAATTCAATTTCTTGAAAACTTCCGTGATTTTTCTTCTTTATGTGAAGAATATTCTCTGAAAATCTCAAGCCATGGTGTTAATTTGGTCTCCTTTTAAGAAATAAAATAGGAACAGAGATTTTGAAACATCGCAACTGAGGTATGCTTTTTTGCAGTTTTGCCGTCGATATTTCCTGCTGGTTCTCAAAGTAAAGTTATCTTGATCAAACGGCAAAATAATGCTCGTTGCTATTTGTATTTGTCGCCCTTTTTATGCTGCATTTTGAGCTTTGAATCAGTGGTTAAGGATTTAAAGGGTTAAGTATTTATGTAGTTCTCAAATTTTCAAGTCTATAGTCTCTCTTTCAATTTAACAACTATTTCTAGTTCAAAATCTAAGATGACACCTTTTCTATTTTATCACTGATTGAAGTGTTTCTTTTTTCAGAGGAAGGACACCTGATTGGTACAACAGAAATTATGGACATGTTTGTGCTCAGTTTTTACTGAAAATTCGTAACTCATTCCATCAAACTACTGAGGGACCTGAAAGTAAAGTGTAAGTCAAATCTGTGTATAGCTGAATAAAGGGAAATCCTGTTTCAAAAAGTTTCAGTCTTTATTTTTCTAATTTTACTTTAATTGTTTTACAATGTACCTTACTTACGTTGAACTTCTTGGAATTATTTGAACAAGTCCTGGGTCTTGAACTTGAATGGGACCACATATCACCAAAAATCGTAATAAGTTAACACACCTTTAAAATTCTGCAATTCTTTTCTAAGAATTCATTTTGTGATGACAAGCTTGCTTTGTTTTAAACGGGGTTTACATTTCCAATTATTCCTTTTGTTCATTAATTAAAAAAATGAACTTAATCAGAAGATTTTTAAGATTGGTATACCCTCGGAAAGGTGTGAAAGGTCAACAGATGATCCTTGAGAACCCACTCATTGGAAAGAAAAAAAATGGTCAGTGGCCTTCAAATTTCCAGTTACAATGTATCATTACCAAAAATGAATAGAGTGCGTGTAGTATTATAGTAGTGTAAAAACTAGATAATAAATGTAAATCATGAATTTGCCATTGTGTTTTATGTTAAGTGCAAAGTAATCATAATTGTTTGAATTACCCAAAAATGGCTACCTAGTCCATATAATGTTATACATATCAGTTACATTGTTGATTGTTTGATTCAATACTTGTAAATAAAATCCCTTGATTTTGTTAGAAATTGATTTATTTTTTTGAGCCCCGCTAAGTATATTTTCTGTTTTGTCTCTTAGTAGGTATGTATCCAATTAATGAACTGGAGCTTGATGTTGCATGAGTCATTATGAATATTGTGATGTACCTAAATAATACCTAATAAGCGCGTCCTAATTTTCCTGATTTAGACGCAAATAATATTTCATTGATTGATACATAATAGCTGTGGTGACACTTGTTCTGTGCTGATTTTATTTCTTCTTTACAGTATCATAATTATGAGATTCAATTTCTTTGATGTTATTTTTAAGATATCTATTCGCTAGAAAAGAATATCCCAACTAAATTGAACTGAGGGGCCAAAAATCTAGTTCTTTTGTTAAATTTTTCATTGTACATTAGCAGATCTTGTGCAGAAAATTTGTTCGCATCTATAATGATAAGTGTAACTCTTAAAAAAACTTTGATTCATTCTCCAAGAGCCTTTTTGAGAAGTAAATCGATTTTCTTATTTCTCTTGAAATGGAAAATCAAGTTAAAACAAGTCCAGCGTTTCAAACATTTAGAGGTAACAAATGATTCCAATAATTTCTTTATTTTGGCTTTATCCTCTGCCCAAGATACCTTTTTGTCTTTTTTGTTCAGAATAAATACGGTTGACTAACCATGAATTTTGGAGCATCTATTTTTCTATTAAGCCTCCTTCTCAAATATTTTTCTGATTATTATCTATGAAAATTATTTTTGTATGTTATGTTTTAAAATAGAAATCCCTCAAATCCCTCTTTGAAAATTGGTGCTTAACAAAAGATTTAATGGACTTCAACTTTGTATTTCTTTTAGTCATAATAATATCTTTAATGTCCGTTTTGTAAACCGAATGCCTCCATGAAATTGTATCATTCATATTTTCATTTGAGCTCCTGCATATCTCAGTTGCATATCTTAGTCCCACATTTGTAGCTTAAAGTAAAAGAATTAAAAGAAATATCGTTGTGAAAATTAAGCTATTCGAATTCTGAAAATGCTTTGCATAGATTTTTTATTTGTTAAAAAATTCATAGCCATTTCTAACATGTAGAAAGAGTGTCAACAATTGTGCATTTATTTTTGGAAAACAGGGTCCTCTGTAATATTTTTGGAATGGGTGACCTCAAAGTGCAAATCCTTTGGCTCTAAGCTACAGAAAAGTGGAAACTCATCGGAAAGAGTGGACTAATCTGAGCATCAGAATGGAAGGTTGAATTTTCAAAACTCACCTGTTCCTGGTTTATTTTTCATCTTAACCTCCGTGCATCACAATATTACTCCATTGTTATTGTATTTATGATTCTGTGATAAACCAATTTTTATTTCTGTTTTTGTGTAACTTTATAGCGAGGTTCTATTTTTAAATTGTTCAATTGTTTGATTGAAACCAAATTATTTGATTTTTTGTATATAATTTATTAAAAAGTAATAATTTTAAAAATACATTAAATTAAGTTTGACAATTCATGTTTGTGTTTAATTTGTGTTAAACCATTTTCACAAGAAGCCTAAATTTCACAAACGAGACTAAGATAGAATGGAGCTACATGACTGGTCGGTTTTGTCCATTTCCCTCTCTGTTGTGCCCATGTTGGGTGAAACTAACAACGAGCAATCGGTAATTTCAAGAGCCTTAAGCCTCCAGCTTGTTGCAGATTCCACTTGATATAAGCATGATACAGCAGATGACAAACAAGCCTGACAAATCTTAATATTCTATTCTATTGTAGTCTCGTAATTTCACTGAGGATTGTATGTATTTTGTTGGTTTCCTGTGGCTTAGTGGCTGTAGCACTGGCTCTATGATCAGATCTCAGGTTTGATTCCTGGCTAGGTGACCTAAGTTTGATGGTTTCAAGCAATGGTAACCTGGGGCTGGGTGTAAAATAAGAACCAAGGACAATTGGCCTTATCTGCCTTGCTGAGGAAAAACGCTGTATGAACCTCCAGGCGCTGCCAAATTTCCTCTGGTAAAATACAAATTTATTGGGGAAGTTGTAAATTATTTTCTTCCAATTTTTCAGACTATTTTGTTCGGAATTTAATCTGAAATATCTGAAAATTTTAAGGAATAACGTTTGAATATTTCGTCAAAAATACATGTTTTATCTGAGGAAATTTGGCAAATCTTGAATGTTCTTACGGCGTTTTGCCTTAGTACGGCAGTTATAGCCCTTGTATCGGTACTTAAAGTTAAAAAAAAGTGAAGTAAAAAAGCAGAAACAAATCAATGATCGGCCTGCTATCATCCTTAAAAAGAATGATTCTAGTTGCAGAATGATCATTTTTTCAAAGTAGTTACTAGTGAGAGTTCACAAGAGGAATGAAATTGCAAAGCAATGAAGACTGTTTCCGTCGCCATTAATATTTGAACCTGTGACCCCTAGGCAGGGTGGCATCTGATTGCCATGTTCATTCACTAGATAGCAGAGGTCTATTGTGCATTTCCTCTTTGCCCCCGTCAAAAATTTAAAAAAAAAAAATTAAAAATAAAATAAACAGAACATCCAAGAAATGAATTGTAAGTAGTACTTACACAATGGTTTCCTCTTTGGTCAAATTTCATTTTTCCCGGTTTATGAGACAAAACTGTGTAACTTGCGGACTCTTACAAAACAAGACAAACTGCCTAATTTTATCAGCATTGGTCAATCCTCGGTTTCTTTAAATGAAACTCAGTGAACATGAACCCTTTAAAATCCTTTACTTATAACAGAGAAAGTGCAGAAAATTGTTCACTTACATAAAAAAGTTAGCAAAAGTTAAAAAACATAGCCTTAGTTGATAAGAATAAAGGAATGCCCTGCTTCAACCAACTTGAGATAAATGAAAACCCTGTTTCATTGGAGAAGAGTTGTTTTTAGGGTATTGTTTCCCAAGCATTCTTAATTTTTTTTTAGTTCCACATTGAAAAGATATACACCAATTCCTTTTTATTTTGAGCAGTGTTAGTGAATTTACAACTTTTACCAATGTGCTTAATATGATTTTTCAGAAAATTCAAGAAGAAGTAGGTACTCTTTTAGGTAGGTAGAGTTCACCCAAATAAGTGTGTGCACTGTTAGACTGCAACAGAATATCCGCCATTCTGATTCTTGCATTTATTTTCAATGCTAAACTAATGTCACACCATCATCTGCCGCATTCTGAGTGCATGAACTTATTTGGCATGAACTCTAGCTGCTATTTACTATAGGTCGACACCTAAAAAAAAATAAGAAAAAAAAAGTGCCACATTAGGTACATGTAAGCATTCCTTAGTAAGTAGGCAATTTGTGCCTGCAAGCAATGTAACAATTTTCATCGCTATTTTTTAGGATTATTTTCTCATCCTCGAAATTAATCAACCAAAAATGCAGAGAAAAATGCTTGGTATATTAGGCTCTGCTGAGTCAGCAAAATAGGATTCCAAAGAACATCAATCGCAAACTGTTTGCTATAGTCAAGCAATTTTTTTTCTCGGACATTGACTATAAAGAGATTGGATTCTTTCGCAACTAAGGGCTGAATCTAGTTTCCTAGTTCTGAGTCTGGAGAAAATAATTCTACCAGATCATATTAAATCAGTACAGTGGTACTAGTAAAACGTATCACTATTTTTGTTATGTAGTAGCTATCATGCTTGATTTTAATTTTTTGATGAACAACCAATCTTTATCGCACAGAATTTTGTCTTATTTTTTTATAATTTCTGTGAAGAAACTTCAGATACCATTATTCGGCAATGAACGAAAAGTTTGAGAAATCGTAATTGAATTAGTTTTTATTTTAATTTCGATATTCAGTCGTACGGATGGGAGGGGAGGGGACTCGAGGGTTACGAATTGTAGGAATTTTAAAAAAACCGCGATAACTTTTACACCAATGAGAGAGCGTTTGATTATTACGCAATCGTTCAATATGGAGGCATGGCGCCAACGGCGCGTGTTTGTGTTTTCATTTTATTGTCCCGCGTGATTTTCCATCGCGGTACAAAGTGGCTATTTTCGCCGTCGAATTTCTGCACTTTTCATTACTCTAAGGCCGTTGATTTTTATTTCGAATATACTTTAAATGTTTGCAACGTGTAAGGAAACTGTCATCTGTCATTGAAGAGGTAAAGTATGTGATCCTTATTTACCTTTCCGCACTTATCTACCCTATCAGCGGTTGTTTGCCGGGAAACGTTCGTGTGTTGCTAAGGAAGCATGCTATGTTTAAGAAGTGGCATTATTTCGTTCAATCAAAGTTCGACTTCTTGCATCTCATTGATTACACTCTAGGTATATTAGAACATTAGCTCCTGATTATCTTGCCAATCTACTTGTGGGCTTATTTTTGTTACGTAACTCAACCTCTCGCAGAGATATCGATTGACGCTCGGGAGGTAAGGTTATAAGTTGGTTCTAAAGTTCCCCTTAGTAGAGGTCTGAAGCTGTCATGCCAATCCAAGTGAATATTTTTTCGGTAAGCTGAAGGAAGAGACTCTGTACTTGAGTCAAAGGGACGCTTGGCTAGATGACAAGTTGAGAAAAGCCTCTGTCAAAACTCTGGTTGACTGCGATGAAGGGTACTTTCTGTTATGCAGGCCTCCAAGTGGAGCCTACCGTGATTTGATGGAACACTAGACTGCTGTTTAAATAAAGTTGTCATCACACAGTGTCGTTTAACATTCCCAGGTCTGTTCCCCCAAATCCACCATGGCCTGTGAATTCAAGGAAAGCCTTCCATTCTGTTAGGTTGGTCTAGTCCACATTATCAGTGGTTGCCCCTGTGGGGCGATTATTGAAATGACATCGACTCCGTGTCGTTGCTTTGTCGTGTTGCACAATAGCGTTTGCGCGACACGACAAAGCGGCAACATAGAGTCGAAATCATTTCAGTAATCGCCCTGCTGTTATGTCATCAGGCAAAGTCAGGAAATATTTATCTCTCATTGCAGTGTCGCAAATCTCTACTCTTCTATTATATTTTAAAGGAGAACTAATCAATAGTTGCCTTGTACTTTTTGCTATTTGTTTGTAAGAACTAAAGTTATCAAGAAATATTTTGGTCAATTTTTAACCAAACTTGTGAACCTCATTGCGCTCACACTGGAAGTAAGTAAATTATGAATCCAAAGAACTCAATCTAATTACAGGACATAGTAAACATAGCGATTTCAATGACTTCAAAAATTTCAGCTTCATTCCAGAACTACAATAACCCTTCATCATTATTACACGAGAAAGAATGCACTACCGTCATGGTAATTTTAACAATCGGCAGGCTGATGATGAACAATGTCAGTGTTGTCAAACTCTAGTCTGTTCGAATCTTGCATTAATCTGTCTCAGGATCCTCCACTGTCAACTACGGCTTTTTGCAACTGATGATTTCACACACTTTTTTCTAGATACAACACTTCAAGCATGGAGACTCATCCTGCGAATAACGCGATGTCAGAAGGATCAGAATCATCAAACATGACCATTTCGACAGAAGTGGGAACAGAGTCATCCGACACGTCAGGAGTTTCGGTGAACAGTTTCACAACAGATAGCAGCATTAACGGAGATGACTCGGTCAACATGTCTGGGGTGTCAACTCTCGCGATAGAGGAGAGCACTCTCGCCGTTAACGGAGACACTTCTGCAGACATGTCTGGGGTATCAACCCTTGCCACGTCAGTGATAGAAGAAACCACCATCGGAAATGATACACTCAATGCGTCAGAAGTTGATTCAGCTATCAGTGGCTCTGTCTCAAGATCCAACACTCCTGAATCTTTCTGTGACTTTGACGATACCCGTAAGCAATCTCCTTTAAACTTCACTCGTACTTACTCAAGTGCAAAAATTCACTCACCATCAAATGCCTTAAAATAGTTATATCATCAATTCTTCTATCAACTGTCCAATGAAGGCAAAAACAAAATGTGGAGACAAGCTTGTTTGTAATGTGAGACTCAAAAGGTTCCTTAAGATGAGCCCTAGAAACCTCGTAATTTCATAGTGTTCTTGCACTTGTAGACTACTTACTTTTTGCCAGCACTTTTCCTTTTTTTTGGTTTTTTATTTTCCTTTAGAACTACAGGTAATAATAATATGGATCATTAGAAAGACATTGGAGAAATGAAACAATATCCAAGAAAGGAAATGACGGAAGCCATGTTACACTAAGATAATCAGTGAAGATTGCAGAGAACTCCTCACTGCTTAAAAAGATGGATATCAAAAAAAAAAAAAATCTAAATGCCTTTTGCTCAAGTGTTACCATCCAAGTACCAGACCAGCAACTGTGATACATTCTTGCCAGGAAGTCAGTGTAATTTAACTTGTAGCTGAGGAGTAACTCTGACAAGGAGTGTGAAATCGCGAATCGTTGAGACCCAATTAAGTGCCATACAATTAGACCACATTTTGCGATTAGGAACTACAATTTCCAGCTCATTCTAGAAACAAGCTTTGTGTCATTAATTTCTCTATGCAGATAGATGTTTTTATCCCTGTGCCTGTAATTTTAGTTCCTAATTGCAAAATGCAGTCCAATTATGAGTAGGCCCACAGCTTTGAGGGCCAGTCAGCATCTTGACAGAACTCATCATCATTCTCGTTTTTTGATGCCACTGTAGAAAGTTCTCTTTTAATGATCAAATTTTGTGCTTTTTCCCCTCTCAGGTGACCAAATACAAAACAATCCCTTGGTAACAAAGGAAATGGTGGCTGAAGAGAAAAAATTAGAGAAGCAAAGAATGAAAGAAGAAATGAAGCAAGAGAAAGAATTTGAAGTAAGTTCTGTTCGCTTATGAATAATCAAAATTAATAAAACTGGTAGGTACTCCATCTCCTTCATGCAGGAAAAATGAAATTAAGAAGTTTTATCAGTATGGAGTTATTCTGAAATTCCCTTGTCCTTTTTCAACAAACTGTTTTTTCTTTTTTCTTTTATTCCATTGCATTCAAATCGTTAACAAGTCATGTGTGAAAAACTTAACTGTATCATAACAAAAATTGGCACTTCTCATCTTTTGCTGAGTTCTTTTAGAGCTAAAATAAGGCATAGTGGAAAAATAATTCTAGGTAAATGGTCAGTCCTTTGCGCTTACAAGATTTTCGTAGTATGTTTTCAATTTCATAATGTTGTTTTTTTTAAAAGCATTTCTTAATTTCAGACTTTCTTTTCCGTAAGGCCCTTAGGAAAAGAAGAGAAGAAAAATAAAAAAGCATGTTCAAAAAGTTATAAGTAAGTGTGTGCAAGTTCCTGTGTCTAAAGTCTACATGTTATAAAGGAAAGGCTTTCTGAAAAATGAATCTTCTCACAACTGAAATAGAGTTGGTTCAATTAATCATTGAAATGAAGTTATCTTGGTCTTATGTACAAGCTTTTTCCTGTTGCACCAGTCTTAGCTATGTATTTTGAATTTCAAAATTTGTTTCAACCAGGAAAAAGTTGCAGAAGAAGAAAGATCAGCACGTTACAACAAGTTGATGGAGCTTTTAACAAAATCAAAGTTTTATGGGAAGTTTATTGCACAACAATTGGCAGCTCCACAGCCACCCAAAGACAAGTGAGTGAGCTACAATAAAATATGTATCGAAATTAATAAAATTGCTAATTGTTAGTAAGATTGCAGAATCTTTCAAGTGATGTAGTTCAATGATCAGGAAGGAAAGGACTTTGTACAGAAAGTCACATGAATTGGTGCTGTCTTTTCATTAGCATTTGATATGATGTTCTACACGCCCTCCTGTGCATCACAAAACTTCGATATTAAACTTTTAAAGTACCAATTTTGAGAATAGCATGGTTGATAGGGGAATTTTTCAGAGCTTTTTACATGCATTCTCTATTGAAAACATAGTGATACCACTGTCTTGGATATCCGGAGCAACTTCAAATTTTTCTTGAAAAATCAGTGGAAGGTTTTGATGCCGAAACATAACTTCTTTTATAATTTCCTGATTTAAGGTTGTACGTACCTCAATTGAACTCTCCTTTCTAGTGCCAGATTTTTTGTAATTTAAATTTTTTTTCAACATTCAGAAATTATTGTGTCACTTCAGTAAAGAAAAATTTATATATTTTTTCAATCTACAAATTTTAGCGATTGCCAGATTGTTTGTGATTTCAATTTTTTTTCAACATTTAAAAATTGTTGTAGGTACCTAAACAAAAAGAATACTAAAAAAAAAATTATCATTTTCAACCCACAGATTTTAATGTTTGTTCAAAGTCAAGGAGCATGATTTTCCTTTCAAGCAGCCTGATATCTAATCCAAAAGCCTGTTTTGTTGTTTCAATAGGAAACCGGTTGGAAAGAAAGGTCGAAAATCTAAGAAGCAGGATGATGAAAATAAAGCCTCCGAAGAAAATATTAATCCAGTTAGTCAAGAATCAATCAAAACTGAGGAGGAGAACGATTCACAAGATAGTCAGCATTCCATGAGAACCAGGAAAAGGAAAGCCAGTTCAAGTCCGGTAAAATACTGCTTTTCCTTCTCATTTTAACTTTTTTAGGTTCCTGTGTTTAACAATTTTAGAAAAGATCCACTGGATATCCAAAAAAAATTCAAAGACCGTTGCATTTTTTTCAAATAAAAAATAAAAGAAGAATTTGTCAGAAGTTAGGATGGCTAGCGACGGGGAAAACCCGGAAAAGTCTGGGAAATTTGTCAATGGTCAGGGGATTTTTTGTGGAGCCGGGCTTTATGTAAAAATCAGGTCTGCAACAGGCTAGCTGATTGCGTTGTTTTGCCAATCTTTTGATCACATTAATTTAGGGCCTTTACGTTATTATAAAAAAGTGAGGGAATGGGGTGGTTGCACGAAATTTGTTTAATTCAATTTCTAAAAGTTTAAGGTCTACTGAGTATTAAGGTATTTTTTAAATAATTTTCCGGTCACCGGAACTTTGAGAAAAAGCTCTTCAAATTTAAAAGCCATTTCCCCTATGTCAAATACCTGTAAATACGGTCTTTTCAAAAATTCGCGAAAAATCGATTTTTTTTGTCTAGACTTGATTTCTTTGCGTTGATGAAAATTTTAGGATTTGATTAATAATTTAAAAACAATTTTGAAAGCTCTCCATCATGATTTCTTAGTGAAGAAGGGAGTTGAAATAGAGCTTTTCGTGTATCTTCTGCCGCGAGCCGCGCGGTCCGTCGGATTCGAGTGCGCCCGGACTGCTTCGGCAGTGTTTGTGCGTTGTAGCCAATCAGAGCTTGAGTTGGGCTCTCTAGGCGCTGGTGGAGCCGGTGACCAAAAATCGCAACAACACCATAACATAGACTTGTTCTTATCACTTTTCTGATCTCAACTAGCGCTGTGTTTCAGTTTATGATCAAGATACGGTTCTAAACACCTTTTGGCATGATTTTCGACAGTATTTTCCGAGGAAAAAGATAATTTAGACACTTTAAATAGCACAACAGATCATACTTCGGCTCGGTAAAAACACGGTCGAGATAGGGATGATGGCGGTGGGCGCGGCCTTGTATACCAACTGACGTCACAGCCAATGGAAATCGTTTTTTTCTTACTGCGATTTTGCGACTTTTTATCGAGCTTTAAGAAAGCTTTCGACTCAATTTCGGAACTTGCAAATGCGAAAAACGGTTTTTTCGCAAAAAGTTATGCTGGAAACAGTCATCAAATTTAAAACCCCAGTTGCATGCAACTACTCCATTTCATTAGAAAAAGTCAGGGAATGATAAAATGAAATTTTGCTAGCCACCGCAGGTGCAAATTCTTATCTTCCCTTTGCATGATTCTATGCTGCCTGAACTTTTTCATTTCTTTCTAGCCAATGCTAATAAGTTTTGTTCAAGCTGTCATTTCCAAATACTATATCTTCATGTTTGTTAGGGAAGCAGCTGCCTTGTCGCCTATGCACCTCATCCCTCAATATTTTTCTTCTCTCTAGGTATAAGATTTTTCAGTTTATCGGAGGCCTCAAAACAAAAGTGCTCTTTAACTTGTGAGTTGAAGCACAGGGAGACCTCAATTTATCAGATTTTACTTGACTGACAAATTGATCCGTTAAATTGCTGAGCACATTAATCGGAATAATTTTAAGCCCTTGAAAAGACAGGAATATCGATCTGTTAAATTGTGATCTGATAAGTCGAGATCTCACAGTAATTCTTCCTAGGTATGCATTTGTGTCTAATTTTAAATTTCTTGGTTTAAACAGGCTACAACTCCTGAGCAGTCCAACGGAGCAGATAATGCAAAGCGTGCCCGGAGACCGCCTTCATGGCTCAATGACTATGTATGTTGATTTATACAGTTTCAAGTTGTACTATTGTATTTCAGCTCAATGCTCTTTGCTTATTTCTCTTAAAAAATCCATTTGACGATTCACAGCTGAGTTCATCTACAGCATTCATTTCTCATTGCACTTATCTTGTTGCTCGAATTCCATTTTGATTTATTCCATCTATTCTATTTTCAAGTCTGAATCCAATATTCTACGATTCTCAAAATTTGAAATACCTGAAGAAAAGTGAGAATTTCGCCTTATACATGCTTTCTATGAGTGGTATTGTAGAGGTAATGCATTTCAAGTTTAACTGATAAAACCGACGTTCTTAAATGAAGGAAATCTCTATATGTATTGATGACCAAAGTATGAAACCTTGTATCTCTGTATGTAATGTTGCAGATTTCTTGTTGTACTTAATATTTTCTATGGAAAACTAGTCAACGTTCTTAATTTTTAAAAAAAACTTCTTTGATTTTTCTTCCGTGCTAACAGAATATTCCGCACAAATTTCAAGCTATCAAGTTGGCTTGTTTTTCTTCAAAAAAGTGAAATAAGAACAGAGATTTTGAAACACGGCATTGGATGTACATGGTGTTGCACTTTAACCATTGATCTGTATCTACAAACACTACTGAAATAAAAGAAGAAACTTATGAACAATAAGTCTGTTTCTTAAAATAAAAAAAAAGTTAGCAGTATTCAACTAAATTGAATGTTCTTTGAATATGTAGTTTCCATAGTAAAATTCTGTGTGAAAATATATGGAGGATCCTAAGTTCATAAGTGAATTAAATTTATTTCTTTAATTTCATAGGAAGCCAAAGAAAATCCATCAAAAGAACCAAAGACAGAAGATACTGAAGAAACATATATCACTGCTCAAGGGTTTACTGCATCTGTAAGGCAACCAAAACTCTTCGATGGGGGTTCGTTGAGAGATTATCAATTAGATGGATTAGATTGGTTAAAAGTAAGTAAACTCCCTTTTTGATCATTACCATTCTACCATTGGCTTTTTTATTTAGACATCTCATCTTTAAGTTAGCATGCACTTAAAGTAAATAGATCAAAAGTGGCTAAAGATTGAATGACTTTCAATTTTACCGCAAGTGTTGGTTCATTTTTTCAGGTCTAGAAGAGGTCAACTAGCAGATCATGCAATGAAAAAAATTTCTTTGCGTACATACAAAAAATTCCAGTGCTAAGATCGGACTATACAGGCTAAGAAAATTTTTTTTTAGAAATTGAGAATTTGTTCTACGTCCAAAACAGGAGGAGGCTAAGGGTCATATCCTGTGAATGTTGAGGCCTCGTTTAGCTAAAAGTATTGCTTTCGTTCAGGAGGCCTTATTCGATCCTCATGATTTCCATAATACCTTAGCTTTAGTTCCTGAAGTTAAATTTCTACTCAAGTGACACTTGCGAAAAGGGTCAACCATGAAACTGGCGATAAATTAATCTCACCAATATGATAAAATATTGGGCAAGTTTTAATCATATCTAATAAGAGACTCAATAAGTTATAATCTCATGAATTATTTTAAGAAATAAGTCTAACCGGCTAAATTGGTTATTAGTCAAATTATTGAATTCACTGGTCACATTTTATACAATAACCATTATTTTGCTCATCCTCAGAATTTAACCATTCAAACATAATTTTGTCTATTTTACTGTCACCCAATGAAAACAGTTTGCATAAAAATAACTTATTGTTGCTTCTCAATCAGTCAAGTGAATCACATATTGCAGAAAGGGCACTATTGCAGAAATGTTAACTATTCAGAAAATGCAAAAAACTGATTTGAGTAAACTATAAGCTTTTGGAAAAAAATTTTTCGAGGTTTTCTTTTGTCCCCCAAGTAGACTGACAATTTCCATAAAAAAATTTTACATGATACTCTTTCTGGGTTGTAAATAATGACACTTGAAGGAAGAGCATTAGTGCCCTTCCTGTAATACATGGGGGAAGGAGCCATAAAGAGTGATAGAATGAAGCCAGAAAATTATTTTAGCCCTTGTTTTTCATCTCAAATGTATGGCAATGATGCATGTCTATAGCGAAAGTTGGAAATTGTATATCTCCATTGCAACGTTTAAAAATTTCTGCTCTCTTTTTATACTACTTTTTAAAAGAGAACAAATAGAGATTTCCCCATGAAATTTTCAGAAAACAATCTTGATGGTGTGAAGAAAATTTACACAAAATTTCAATAGAGAATACTTAAGAACAAAAAAAAGAAGACGAAATAAAATTGGCAATGTCGCAATTGATGGTATGCGATTTCGAACTTTCACCATGTGGTTTGCCCACAGCTCTGTAAATTCTAAAAATATTTCTGGCTTATTTTATTTCAAGTCAAGAAATTTAAAAAAAAAAAAAAAAATGTATCCTTTGAAGTTCAATAGCGTAGTAATCTTCTACCTACTTCCTCATCCAACCTGTTAAGGGCTCCTCTCACTTCCTACACTCAAGGTTCAATTCTCACTCCTTTCATTTTCAGCGTGAGTGAAGCGTGTAGCGTGATCACTGTCGTTTCGAAATGCAAAACTAACCTCTCAATCGTATCAAAACAAAACAATCGACGAGTTGCCGCTGCCGATGCGCGCCCACCCAGTGAGCATGTACTGCAGAAACGGCACTATATTGCTGCAACAGTGCCCTTTCTGCTCTACGTGAGGAACTTAACCCCTGTCAAAAACACACAAAAAATGCGAATATAGTGCCCTGTCTGCACTACAGGATGTGTCTACATACACTAATGCGAAAACCGCAAAAAACTCAATTTCGAAAAAAATGTCGATTGTGCCCTTTCTGTAATAGCTGATTCAAGTGTCCTAAGTTTGTCAATGGGTCAGTTGCACTGGTCCCAGAATCGTGTTTTGATGCTTGGTTTTGTAGATCTGCTAAAAATAATAAGATTTTTCCAATCAGCAACTTTCTCCGTTCAATATTAACCGAGATATCGCGCTTGGAAAAATTCGGTTTTTGACGTCGTCCACTGCTCTTGTGACACCCTTGGTTTCTTCCACCCCTGCTTTCGCCCAAGTTTTACCTTGTGTCTCACTGATTAATGGAAGCAAGGTGGAAGAAACCAAGGCTGTCACTTCCGCGGTGGATGATGTCATAAATCAAATTTTTCAATTCGCGATATCTCGGTTAATATTGAATGTAAAAAGTTGCTATTTAGTTAGGTCTTATTATTTTTAGTTCATCTACAAGAAGCAATATTCAAAGCACGTTTTTGAAACCAGCAAAACTGACCCATTAGATTTCTAAAGTTGTATTTTTCATCTCATTCTTTTCTTGTTCTCAAGGCTCTGTTCGAAAATGGTGTGAATGGAATCTTGGCGGACGAGATGGGTTTGGGAAAAACAGCTCAAGTCATATCATTTGTCTGCCACTTGATTGAAATGGGGGCCACTGGTCCTTTCCTAATTATCGGTCCACTGTCAACGCTTCCCAACTGGATGATGGAATTTGAAAGATTTGCTCCTAAGGTAAGCATTTTATATTTTTATAAATTATTTATTTTTTTTTCCTTTATTCCTACTTAGTGCCAACTTCTTTATTTTTTTGCGCTAAATATTTTGCAAGAATTATACCACTCAGTTGTCATGAAGATTATTTTGTAACCGTTCTGGAAAATCTTGGCAGAGGCTTTCTTATCTGAAAATAAGTTGTTTGTACTGTAGAAATGAATACGAATAGGTGGTCTTGGCTTGTGTATTCTGACTCTTACTGGGTTGCTTCATTTGCAAATTCTTTGAATGATTTACAAGCTAAATATCCTTACACTAACCTCTCAATAGTCTTTGGCAACTAGCAACTTTTTTTCTGTCTTCAGATCCCTGTCTTGCTTTTCCATGGCTACAAAGGCGAGCGAGAACGATTAAGATCAAAGTTTCGTCAGAAGAAAGACGTCAATGGAAAGAAGGTATTTCCTGTAATCCTAACATCATATGAAATCCCATTAATGGAGAGGAGCCACATGAGACAGTTCATTTGGAAATTCATCATTGTCGATGAGGGACATCGTCTGAAGAATCACAGTACGCAGCTAGCGCAGTAAGTACAAAGATATGATCGCCTGTTGATTACACCTCATCCTCGAATTTTTCCTAGAATTTTCTAATTGGTTAGCTGTTGCTTTGTTATCAAGTGCCAAAGACCACTTATTTTAAGAGTAAGATTTAACTCAAAATGCAAGTTTGATTTCTGCACAGTAAGCTAGAAGTATCAGCTGTTCAAAAGAAATTATGTAGTTCTTTGCTTAAACTTTAGAAAAAATTACATACTATCTCTATAAGATTATACTCATTCTGAGTGAAATTTAAAATTCCTGTAGGTTTCTGGGGTGCTGAACTTCAATTTCATATCAGATTCATTCAGAAATTATATAAAATCAAATCTGTTTTATGCACATGAAGAGTAAAATGTATACCTTTTTTTTGTTTGCAAGTTTTGTGTAAAAACTGTCTTTTTTGTTGGATACCCTCAACAGTCGAGTTTTCACATTGTGAGAAAACTGCGTTTGAAGTTTTCGAAGCTTTGCACTTTGCTGCTCGTAGAACTGAGAGGAAACTGAAAAAAAATTTTATGAAGAGCAACTCTTCCTGTGAAAAACACACCTTTTCTTGAATCTCCACGGTGTCCTGCCGCGCTGGCCGGGGAGAACAGTGGATTCTCATATCTGCTGTTTTTACAAATAACATGGTTTTCAGTTCATATCTGGACAAAAAATTGCGCTGGAAGTCTGGAACTTTGCACATGCATTTTTTAAGGCGCCAGAATTTGAAAAAAGCGTTTTCCCTAAAAATGGCAGATTTCTATGACCACTATTGTTACATACAAGTCCTTTTATGTCTCAGTGAATTAATCAAAGTTTTGATTTTTCCTTTTAGGGAATTAAGAGCCTATAACTCAATCAACAGACTTCTGCTGACTGGCACTCCTCTGCAAAACAACTTAATGGAACTTTGGTCACTTCTAAATTTCTTGTTGCCCGAACTATTCAATGATTTGAATGCTTTTGAGTCGTGGCTAGACATCTCAATTTTTTCAGACAACGGACGAGCTCTCATTGAACAAGAAAAAAGCAACCAAATAGTAGCTACACTTCAGCAGGTACTTTTCATTGATCTTGTACAAATTTGTCCACCAAATGAAAATTTAAAGAAGTCTGTTGGCGTTCTGGCAACGGAGCGTTCTGACTCCTACTTGTGCTTCTTCACCATCCTATTGGAATGTATGTCAAAATGTAGGCTGAAAAGGTTTATGGGAAAAAATGCCTGCAAAATGTCATCTTACCCCTTAAAACTCAGAGAGGCTCAAATGTCAAATGCCCCAGTATTTTTGTGCACACCTTACTTACAAAAACACTTTTCTGAATATTAGAGTAAAATAATAAGCGTAATTGCAGGGACATTACCAATACTGTGCGGTACTGACTTAATTACTGGATCATTTAATAATGTGTTCTTTGGGGAACCACATGCCATTACCTCTATTACCCAAAAATGTGAGTTAGGTATCTTCTTGCTTGGGGATGCTGACACATATACGTGTTCCTAATACCTCCGATGTTCCCAAAAAATTATTTCTAATATCCTGGTGCTCAGGACTGGGAAGTAGGCTTGAATTCTCAAGTCTAAAAACGTATTTGTATCCGTATTACTGTAACTGTTAGCACTTTGTTCCTACAATTCAAGGTATTAGGAAGCATTTTTTTTTTCTCTCTTTGGATCCGATTGTCTTACATTCATTTTTCTTTTTTAAATTCCTTTCTGATTTCATAGATTCTGGCCCCTTTCATGTTGCGTCGAAGGAAAGTAGACGTTGAAATCAACATTCCTCCGAAGAAGGAGCTCTTAGTGTACGCACCAATGACAACCCTGCAGCAGGATTTGTATAAAGCTACGATCGATCACACCATTGAAAGATTGCTAATGGGCCCAGAAAAACAGGTGAATATCGCTCTCTTTGAATTTTAATATCTGCGTCAATAGATGAAAAAATCTTACGTAGAACTTTTAAATTTATCTGATAAGTCAAAACATGAAAATTAATTTAGATTAGCAGATCTTGTAAGTGAATATATGGAGATCAAAGTCTAAGTAAGACTACATGTAAATTTATTAAAACTAAAAAGAATTGGTTCATCAACAGACATTTTGAATGGTACCAGCAGAGAACCCTGGCGATAGTGAGATCGCCAAGTCACTGATTCAGGCTGAAGTACATGATTTCAAATTAGTGTCTAATTAGGTATGTGTACATGCCTATTGTACGTTATATTAAGTGAAATATTAATCCCCTGCAATTATTTCCGAGAGTATTACCATTTAACTTTTATTTTCAACTGCTTTCAGGAAGGTTACATTATTCCTGACAATCCAGATGGAACAAGAGCGAGGCGCTCTTGTGCACAAAAGAATAAAGATTATTCCTTTCCTTCTATGGAGTGGTACGTCGAACAGGATAGCAAGACTGAACCGTAAGTTCTATCTTCTGTATGCTGTATTCTCCATGCAGTAGATCGAGTAATTTAACATAGCAACACATAAAGTAATCATGAAAGTATTGGCAAAGCTATGAGCCAAAATTTCAGGATATAGAGTAGTGAAACATGGATGTAATGACTTTTAGTTGACCGGCCGAAAATAATGTCTGAAACTGAGAACGCTGATAAATGCCGTTAACGACATCAAAAGTTCATTACTGTGAATTTAGCAATATTGTGCAATTTGTCAAAGGTACATGCAACCATTTTGCAGCTTACTCTTTCTTAATCTGATCTTGGCATTTCTACAAAAAAAGTGAATTGCCTGTTGGCCTCGAATCTTTGAAAACTTTATGAAGTTTTATGAGTATTGCATGAGGGTACTTGAAACTCAGGGTCCGGCAACTTTGCAGTAGCGAGGGTAAAATAGCATCCAAGTATGGACGAGGAAGCTAAGGAACGATTCAAACAGATAGGCATCGGCTATCCTTGCTCTGTGAAATGCGAATAATGAGATACAACAAATGTTCATTTGAAATTTGTTCAGTGGCAATCGCAGTCCCAGAATTTCATTGAATTGACCCATTTGATTCTTCATCAAATTTATGAGAACTATCAATTTTTATTTCTGTTAGGTCATGTCTGCTCTCTAACTTATGACTCATTTCTCAAATGACATTTCCTATTTACTTAGTCTTTGATTCTTTGTTTCTTTTGAAGGAATGAAATTTCTGTGGTCGACAAGGAGAACCCTGAGTTTGCGTTCAGGATCAGGATGCAAAACACAGGAATGCAGTTACGTAAAATAATCAACCATCCTTTCCTCATTCAAATGCCCCTCAAGCCAGGATCTGGACCTCGAGAAATTTTAGTCAGCGAGGATATTGTTACAAAATCCGGAAAACTCCTAGTTTTAGATGCCATGTTGGCCAAATTAAAGAAAGGAGGACACAAGGTAATTGATTTTCCCTGTCATAGTAGGATGAGCTCACATGGAAATATGATAACCATGTCTTCGACTTTGCCTCAGCTAATCAGCATGCCGACTTCCGCACCTGTTTGTCATTACAAACTCCCAAAAATATCGTTTCAAATGAGTCCAGATTTTGGCAACTTTAGAATCGATTTCTTTCGTCATTTTGAGTGAAAAGAATATAAAAAATTATTGAGAGCTCATTAGCTCAACTCTCTCAATTTTGTAAGAAAATGAATTTAAAGACACTAAGTGCCACTGACCCAATTGATAGATAATGAGATACGGAAGAAATTGTTTGGGAAAAATCATGAAACAAACAAAAATCGGAAACTAGAATTGAAAAAAGACCTTGTTTCTCCATGTTTTATTCCAAAAAAGATGAGGTTATCTCCCCTTCCAATCTCATGCTAAGAACATGAGCTTTAGTGCAATAATACCATAAGAAATAATACAATTGACTTACAGAACGCACGTAGTTTAATGACAGATACTGAAATGACAAATACTGAACATAAGAGACTGAGGATATCTTGACCTCAAAGGGATGATAAAGTAGAAAATGTACGAAGCAAGGACAATCAAAATCCACTCTGGCTACCACTCTGATACACACTGGGAAGATGGTCAAAAACTGCATTTCTATGGTAACGGTGACGCAACAGACCTCAACTAGCCAGAAAAAGGTGGAAACAAAATGAAAAATTAAAAATTATGTTTCATAATTTTCCCCGTTTCCCATGATCAGGGGACAGTAGGAAATGTCAGGGAAAATGACAAAAGTTTCAGAAAAAAATTGTTAAGTCACTTTGCTTGCTTTCAAGAATGGCTTTGATGTTTCAGGCAACAGATTCTGCCTGAAAACTATCTCAAATTACATCTTTTCAATCATGGTGTACCCATGATTGTCAGGGAATTGTACCAAAATGTGTCAAGGAAATGGGGGAATTTCATTTCCTAAATTTTGTGGCAACCGTACAAGCAGCAATTCCATGAGCATTTGATTGGGCCATCTAAGTCTAGATAACTTTCATGAAATAGTTCGCGATGAAGACTCTTTGTTCTGATGTTTATCTGCTCACGCAAGCATTTTATTATTTATCCAGGTGCTCATTTTCTCAACCTTCTGCATGGTCCTTGATCTACTGGAAGAGTACATGATCATGCGAGATTATGGCTACAGGCGATTGGATGGAAGCCGAAATATTGAGGACAGGATGGAGTCAATAAAAGCATTCAACACAGATCCAAACATTTTCTGTTTTCTCATCTCAACCCGAGCTGGTGGCCTTGGAATTAACTTGACCGCTGCTGACACTGTAGTTATTTTTGACAGTGATTGGGTGAGCTAAAGTTCAACTAATAGTTTAGATTTTTCACTTTTTTTAATTTGCAATTGAAATCTGTTTTTAATCCCGGAGAAAATATTAAAACCTCTCTGAGCTGCGATCTTTCAATTCTTGCCAATACTGTTACCGTTTTCTCCTAACTAAAAAATTGTCTTCATTGCGTGCTACTGAATTACGAAGAATCTACCAATGAATTTAATTGCTACTCTGTTTACAATCTATGTGATAACTGTAACAAGAATGTTTCTCTTTTAATTCTTCAATTTCCTAGTAAGTATTTTTTTTTTTTTTTTTTTTTTTTTTTTAAAAAAAAATGTACTAATTTTTACAATCTAAAAACAGCTCATGCATTTGGTTTTTCTACTTTCACCATCAAAGCATTCAGAAAGAGTTTAACTTTAAGAGCTTTTGAGTGTATTCCATGGCTTATTAATATCACTCACGGTTTGGTTTAATTTATACGGTAGCCAAATTCTGTACTTTTATTGCTTTCTCATAAATTCATTGGTCTTCAAATGCTTTTTGCAGAACCCTCAAGCTGACCTACAAGCCCAAGACAGATGTCATCGGATTGGTCAAACTAGACCTGTTGTTGTATATCGCTTCGTAACAGCTGGAACAGTTGATGAAAAAATTGTTGAAGTTGCTGGTCGAAAAAGGAAATTAGAAAAGCTAGTCATTCAAGATGGTAATGATTTTATTCTTTAATAATCTTTTTTGTTTAAATTTTGACTCGTACACTTAAAACTGGACGGACCGGATTTGGCAGTTCAGCTGACATTTTTCCCCGACACTTTCTATTTTCCCGTGAGGTCTATGTCAAATTCCTCAAGACTTTTCGAATTTTGATTTATTGGAATTTTTTTGTTTATTTTTTGAGTTAGAGGTGATATTTTAGCTCAAATCGCCTGATTTTTCTGAAGAATACCTGATTGTTCAGTGTGAAATGCTTTGCTCCACAGCCATTTATACCTGGATGTCAAAATTACCTTTTCATAGCAACCACGGCCATTTGAATTATTCTGTGTAAAAAGATGATTTATTTCTAATTTCTTAACCATTATTTTTATAAATTTAAATTATTTACAGATTTAAGTATCAGAGTTTCATAATGATTACTGGATTGTCTAATCCTCTAACATCAGTCTTGTGTTCATTATATTTCTCATTTTTTCAAGAATTTTTCTCGTATTTGTCATTAATTCTTATTTTTGCAGATATTTATAATTCATAATATTTATGAGAGGGATTGTGATTTCATTACGAATTCATTGCAAATTTTGATTTCTTACCCAGTAACAAATCCCATTATCAGTTCATCTTGTCTGTACAAGAAGAAGATGCTTGAGGTAGAGCCGAAGAAGCTGTTGGGGGATTATAATGTATCCTCTTGATTTACAATAAATTCAATGCATTAATTACTCTGTAACGCACATTAATCAACTGTCAAAACGAGATTCTGTGACATGACATTCGTAAGAGTGACTTGTGACAGAAATATTTTAGTCACAAGTGTGTTCTCATGAACAGCCTTTTTTACGGTTGCAGCTGGAATATTTTCTAATTTTTGGTTCCTTTTTTGTATCTGTTTAGGTACTTTCATCAACCCAAGCTCAATAATGAAACCATCTCTTCTCAATCTGCAAGCTCTGAAATCTCTCCTCGAATCCTGCGACTATCAGAAGAAAATCCAGCCCAATGGTTTCATCTTCACTGATGAGGAACTTGATGCCTTGCTGGACCGCAGTGATTTGCTTGGGGACACGAAAGGTGTTCTCAAGTCCTCTAATTCCGTCTTCAAAGTCTTACAGGTTGATGAAGGTCAGTGAAACTCTCCGTTGTTGATCTTATAATAGGATTTAGGATTTTGGCCATTTATTGTTAAAGTTTTGTATTTCTTTCTTAGTCTGTAGGTACCTATGTAAATATTGTTCATTTTGTACTATTTTAACTAAGAAACACAAGATACGATTGAACCTTAGCCATTTTTGATGAGGATTTCTTTACATCGTAAGGTCTCATTCCAATGACTGTAAATAATCTCAGGAAGCTCAAGGCTATAAGCTGTAATTTATTTTTCACTTGTTCACTAATAGTTTTAAGAGAAAAAAAAGTCCAGGACTGTCAAGATGGAAACCAGAAATCTCGTTCACACTGTCGCTGTGATGGCACATTCTTTTAAATCATTCCATGGCTCAGAACTTGACTCTCACTAAAAGATTCATCATCACATGGAACTCTTTTCATTTTGTTCGACATGTCGCAATAAAAAATTTTCATACCAAATAATTTATTGAAAACTGCCAACCAAAGCTGCGCAGAAATGGAATTTCCTGGTTTTGTTCTCGATGGTCCCATTTAAAAAAGCTGCTCTCCTGCTGTAAGCGTGAGCTAAGTACAAAGAGAAGTACAACTACCCTCTAGTATTTATTTAATTATATTGTTATGTTTTAAAGGGAAGTTATTCTGATAATGGCTGGTTTTGTTCCTTTCGGTTGGAACCTGACTCCAGGTCTGTCTAATCATGTAGTTGACAATCTTGGAACAAAAGTCAGAAGACTTTTCAATTTTCCGGATGATGTGTGGATGAAAGAAACCCTCGAATTACGTTTGATGATAACTTTTTTGTAGTTTTTCTTCGTATCAACTCTACATTTAGGTAGTAACAATGGGTCAGTGGAGCAACTCATAAAATCGTATTTGATTACGTGGAGCTGCGGAGATTTCTCTGTTCAAGAAACTTGATGATCGATATTGTGCACTGTTTCGAAGGATGATATCTTTGGTTTTTCTAGATGCCAATCGTCTATGTTCAGGCGGGTCTTTCTATATATTTTTCTCTTAGGATTCAAGTATGAAGATACGATTCTGTTGTTGCGTAACTGACCCATTTCAAAGTCAGATCTGATACCAGAAGCCAACATCAGCCAGAAAATATAACTTTCTCCCTGTTGCCTGTGGAAATATTTATTGTGCACCTTGTTTTGTCTTGTCAATTTGTCTGTTTTTTCGTTGTGTCATATCTCAAGATTGTTCTAGTTCCATTTTCTTGCCATTTTTGTATTATGTTTGATATTTAATTCCAATTCCTGTTCCTATGTTTAATCCTTGTTGTCAGCCCAGTCTGATGAATGTATTCTGATAACGTTTTTCACAAAAAAAAAAAAAAAAAAAAAAAAACATTTCACTTTTATTCCCAGCAATGTATTTCAATGGTAAAAAATTCTCATGCTGCCATTATTGTATTAATCTGTCATTCTCAATTCTAAAATGAAAACAGGGTTCAAAGATGAGGTGCAAATTATCTCAATACAGTGAAAAATAATGTCCCTAATTTTCTTTCATCTTAGCATTGTAGTGCTCAAAAGTTAACCAAAAAATTGTTCTCTACTCCTTTAAATTATTTCAGAATTTTATACTCGTAGATTTTATACTTACCACTTAAAATATTTTGCTCTGTATGCCTTATAGTAAAGTTACCTAGAAACTATAATTTGCCTGTCTTATCAAATATCTAATAATCTTCAAGCATTTAAATTTGTAATATGAAGTGTTTGACTCAAACTTTAATAATGACTTTGCCACCTATAAATAATTTTCTCTTCATTCTCAATTCTTCTTATTAATAAATGACGTTTCAATGTAGCAGCAACTCTACTCTGGTGCAAGTTGAAAACTGAAGTATTTATTCTATTTTTATGTATGAACCAATAACATCACTTAAATTTAGCTTCTAGTTAGCAGCAATTGTAAAATCAGCTTTCACTTCTCCAACTGGATGTTTACTCCGAGTGAGCCTACATCCTAAACAGATTTATTTGTAAATTTTTTAGTAGTCTCGATTTTGCTGCACACTCGAGTTTCAAACTCCTCAGCCTAAGTATTGACTCTAACTTTCGTACAATGTTTTCTAAGATTACTATTTTCTCTAGGTGATTTTTTTCCTCTCATAGTTCACTTACTGATTTTTAGTTCATTAAGAAATGCTACTTATGGACCATTCACTTTTTATCCCTTTCATGTTTGAAAAACTTGTCAAGCTCTTTCTGTCTTTGACTTGATACGCTTGTTTATTAATTTAAGATTGTGTTATAATAAAGCCTCGATCAACTTTTGAACAGTTTATGTTTTGTGAAGGTGTTAGAACGACCGTGGAAATGATATAGTAAACCTTTTTTTTCTGGAGAATCCATATTATATCTCACTGACGAAAAATTTAACTCATGTGAGGCTTTTTCCTTTTTGGCATGAGAATTTTCAATTTTACTCCGCTTTAAACGCTCGGTGGCAAATGTCATCTTCATGGGTTCCTATCATTACAGCAGTGTTCAATTTACGACATGAAAATTATTAAAACATATCACAAATCCTTTTTTTTTTAAAGTGATTTATCAGCTCGAGCTAGTAGTTTCAAGAACATAAATGTCAAAACTCTTTAAAAAAAAATGATGTTGAATATTTTAATCGGATGCTAGAATTTTCCACTTCGAAAGTTCCAATCAAGTCATGTTTCATTTTGTACTTTCTCTGTGAAAACTTTACGGGACTTCCGAAACTGATTAAGTTAAGTTACGGAGCTTTAAGATCTGTGTGAGAGTATTAAAAAAAACAAAAAAAAAACATTTCTCTGCTCTTGCATTACCCAGCTTATATAGAATTTATGCTTCATTCCAGAATAATCTGAATATCCGATTTCTCACTTTGCACAAGTTACTAATAAGGCAGATCAGTTTCATTTTTATACTAATTTATTACACTTTTTCAACAACAATTATTCAAATAAATAACATCTGAGTCAACAAAATCACAGGAACATTACTTTAAAAAAAAATAATTATGTACACATTAACAAATCTCGAATTAAGAGAGTGGCAGACATTCCTCTGTAAACAATTGATCGCACATGCAGTGTCTTCAGTGCAAAATAGTGCTTCTCCACAAAAGCTGATATTGCAGTTTAATCCATAACTTTTTCAACTGGACTACACTTAGCAATGAAGAACTACAATTTCTGGCTCAGTTTAAAAACAACTTACGTACCATTCGTTGCCTTGTGCACATAAGTGTTTTTACACCCATGCCAGAAATTGTAGTTCCTAATAAAAAAACGTAGTCTGACTATTAGTTCAGGTCAAGTGCATGCACATACACTGTGGCTAAAAAAATGAACTAACTTAGTCTCAGAGATAAAACGATATTACAGGTAGTCAAACAATGAAAGACTTACTAATAAATAATTTGTTACATCACAAGATACAGAACCCAGTGCAAGGCAATCCTTTGCGACACATGTATTTATGCTAGAAGGAACCTTTCATATTTCTATTTGTGAGTATGACTCACCAGAATTGGTCATTGTTACTTCAGAATCACAGGAAACGAGCCATTTTAAGAAGGGCTGCTTCTTCTTCCAACATAGCTTTTCATGAGACTCAACAGCAGCAAGTTTCTACTCTGATCAATAGGAAACTGCGTAGCATAATCGACATACAATTTTACTAATCGTCAATTCTACTATTTTTAGATAACATGTGCTGCCTCATGTTTGAGGTACTCAAAGGCAAAATGTACTGTTAAACCCACAGATGTCTAACAGATATGACCCGATGGCCGTTGAGTGACAAAATGAGTCTCCTTGAACTCTGATGGATTTATCTGATTTCCAAGATAGTTGCTTAACGAATTGCCAAATGACTAATCGAAGATCAGGAATATCAGCCAGGCACCGAGCTTTTGATTTGTTATACTCATTGCCGATGTCATACTCGTGATGACATATCAGTCAGCAATGTTGAGATGACATCAGACACACCCATTTTTGACAGAAATTTTTTGGGGTTTCACAATGTATCTGAAATAGAACTCTCTGATTGTCAATTACGAGAAACTGATTCAGAGGTTATGAGCACTTTCACGAAAGCTTACCAGCGATGATGTCGCAGCACCTAACTTCAGTCCTTGGAAGAGTCTTTGGAGGCAAGTTGACCCACAGTCAAACTGTGTTAACATTTGAATTTCGGATGAATTGATTATAAATTGTCAAGTGGTGCTTGATGACATCCTAGAGAAAATGGTCTGCATATTGCTCCCTCGAGTGCAAGTGAGTGAAGTGCGAGAGTGATTTATTCCTCAAAAACTATCAACTCCTTCTGATTTTTTTCATAGTATTCTCCTGCTTCTCCTCTGACTTATCCTGAAACATTTGAGAAGAGGATTAATGAAGACTTTTATGAAGTGATAATAATGCAGAGAATATTGCGTCCATTCGGCTGTACAAATAAATAAATGAGTAAATAATTTGAAAGGATGCTTTCGCATGTCAGCAGAGAAAGTGCTTCCTACAGCATATTTCAAGTTATACTGACGGTAATAGGACTGTATTGTGGAATAAGAGACTACAATTTATGGCTCACCGGTGAAAACTCTTTTGTCTATAGGGAAACTAATGATACATACAAAACATAACAATTTACCTGACTGGAGTCCAGCTTCGTGCAACAAACAGTGCCCTCATCTGTTGAACTTGAATGCGAGGAATCGACCTGTTGAAGATAAAAAGTCGAAGTTAACAACTGAATGGAAACTATTGCTAGTGGAGAAAAACTGTTACAAAGTTTGCAAGGGTGTCTGCGCGTGGACCTCATATTCAAATGATATCAATTGAACTACATTTTGCAATTTGGACCAATAAATTCTAGCCCGATTTAAAAACAACGTATGTGCCATTAGTTTCCCTATACATATAAGTGTTTTTCCAGAGGAGCCAGATTTTATAGTTCCAAATTGCAAAATGCAGTTCAATTAACCTAACCTGACCATGGGAACTCAATGCCTGACCCATTAACTCGCACATATCCCAATTTCCAGAAAATTTTTAACTACAATTTTTTTGGTCAAGAACCATGTCTCCACCAAAGCTTCCACAAATCAGGAGCCACAGAAATTATCTTCTTAAGCGGGAAAATTTTTATCGCGTTCCACTGGCGCGATCCAGTGCGTTCCATGTGTTCCAGTGGAACGCTTGGACCACTCTTCCGAGGTAGGTTGAGGTTGGTTCAGGCTGGTTGAACCAGCCTGAACCACTATCATCGCGATCCATGCGTTCCACGGATAAAAAAATAGTGTATTTTCTTCGGAAAATACACTAAAAGCCCTATAGAGACTCCTTTGTAGATCTAAATTCTTCTTCAGCAACGTGAAGAACATAATTCCTTCAAATCTTCCTTTATTTTCTTCTCTTTTAGCAGAATATTCCATCGGAATGTCTAGGCATGGGGTTTGCTTGCTTCTCTTCAAATAAATAAAAAGAGGAGCAGTAATTTTGACGCATTGCAATGGAGGCATGTTGTCCTGTGCTTTGGCCATTGATATGCTTGCTTCATACAAGCGAACACTACCTTTCGAAAGCTTTAGCAAGATTGAAAATAAGCGAATGATAAACTTACAGTTGTTGAGTCTTTGGAAGATGCGGAGGATATTCCAGTTTCAGTATTGGGTTCAAACCTGTCGGAGTGAGTCGCTTTTTTAGCTGGCTCCGAAAAAGGTACCTCAAATCTGTGACATCTCATGATGTACTTGGAAAGTAGGTTACCCTTAGAGTGGTCGATATAAAAAATGGATTACATACACTTCTCCTTTCAAGTGTCGATTGGAATTGATAAGATAAAACTGGGTTCTTAGTAAAGGGACTGTGGAACAGCAGATAAGAAGAGCAAAATTTTGAGGTTAGAACACAGATAGTTTGTTTTGATTTAAAGCATGATGCAGCAGGAGTGCCAACAGTCAATCTTAGGAACCATGAAGAAGTAGCTGCTTGATTTAAAGTTAATTAAAAGGTCAAAATCAATATTTGTGACACTCCGGATGAAAAACAGTGATATTGATTGCATTTCATTTAAAATTGAACCGCAATTTCTGGCTCATTCGTAATTACATTCATGTACACAAGGAAACTAATGGTGCATACGTTGTTTCTAAACTGAGCCAGAAATTGTGGTTCCAAATTGCAAAATGTAGTTCGGTTTGACTATAATCCTTGTAAGGGCTTCAATGCATTGGTTCTTCATTTCATATTTGAGTTGAATGGAGATGCCAGACTTAAAATGGCAGATGAACTGAAAATTTTCCCCCTCACTCCAGCACTAAAACTTATAAGAGTTCAAATTTTTGACTCAATTTGAAGTTTCTTGGCCTTGATTTTTTCGCAGCATACCTAGTTAGCAGTCTAATCTTCTGTGAACGTTCTGCTAATATTACTACACTATAGTGTGGCCCTAGCAGTATTTTACAATCCTGTTCCTTACAGTTCCGGCCAAGTTTTTAGTGTTTTCTTCCTGTTTCATGTGAAACAAATAAATAGTAGCGCAAATAATGAATCGGAATAATTGAATAAACATTGATGTTACTTAAAAACTGATTTTAATAAAATTAGATACTTAGGAAATAACAAAACACAGAAATGACTGTTGCTTTTCTGTTTCAACGAAACAAGTAAAAAATTTAAGTAAGACCTGTAAAAGATTACTTAATCGGCTTCTAAATAATGACAGGAAAGAGTAAATTTAGTTTCAGTAATCCTTCAAAGGTTGAATCAAACACTTAATTAAGACGTCTAACACTTAATTATGAAAAAGGTGACCTTAGTCAGTCATTACAAATAATACACACTGTACATAAAAAGAAGTAGAATTAAATGAAATGAAATATTGGAACGTAGTTTTTCTGACGTCAAGTTCTCTGCTCGAAAAATACCTCAAGAGTGGGTTGCAACCATAAAGTCGACAAAGAGATTGAAAAAAGAAATCTGACTTGTAGTGATGAGAAATTCAATTTGTCTGGAATTTAGGAATTTAAACGCTTCTTTGCTGAATAAAAGGATATGAAAATAACTTTAAACGATTTGTGGATCAGCTTTAAATCTTTTGGCACGCTGCTCCAGTTTTTCCTGCATTTCATTCTGGAAACAAAAAGAGAAGAAATTACAACCTAATGCGTTGACAGAATATGGCTTCATCTAAATATAATAGGGGATAGTATGTAAAACTACTGATTCAAAATGAGACAAGATAGTCATTTGAGAATTTATTTAAAAAATTTTCCGAATATCGATGGCAATAATTGGATTGCATTTTGCAAAAAGGAACCAAGAGCATTCCAATGTCGCTAAGATTGTGCAAGTTTGTTTACCTTGCAAATATACACAGATTATCTGAACTGATTTTCTCTTTACTTCCAATAAACTATAACTTAAAGACTGAAACTACCTTTTAAAATTTAAGTTTTTGCATGATTTCAGTAATTTGATTGAATGAATATAAGATACACAATCTTAGCAACATTGGAATGCTCTTGGTTCCTTTTTGCAAAATACAATCCAATTGTAAGATACACACCATCAATGGGCCACTGCACACTTGACAAGGTGTGGACTGGAAAAAAAAGTTGCATGTTTCCATTTGTTGATTTCTAGACTTTCTGTTGTGTGATTCGTTTTCCTCAAGAAATTTTGGAGAGAAATCATGATATAAAAAGTGCTTCAATTCATATCTTGTCTAGAGGTTCAGTTTGACGATGCCTATTTACTCCTCATATTCTGAGGAGATACTTTACTTTTCTTTTTTTTAAAAAAGAAGAAATAAAAAAAACTATCTGGGGCTTTTGAACTGTGAAAGGGAGATACAAGAAGAAGAAAAAACCTGATCATCATCATAGTGCAGTTTGGATTGGTTGGTAGGAATTTATTTACGGTATTCCTTTCCTTTTTCCTTCTCTTTCCCTTGTGTGATACCATCTATGGCCTGGTTGCATAGAGTGCATGGAGTTGTAATGTAAAAGGGAGAGCTGGCACCACTTTCAAGCATTTTCTAGGTTCTGAATTCCGAGATTCCTGTGTGACGCCGGGTCCCTTTTTCAATATATAATCGATTGTTTGCAATACACGGGGACCCGGCCATCCGATGTAAACAAAGAAGATAGGAATCACCACGAAATTCCACACCGCCATTTTGGATCGAACAAGTATCGAAAAAGTGACCCAAGCTCGGCGCACACTGGGCTCAGAACTCGTCGAGCAGACCATGGCGCCAGCTCTTCCATTTACATTACGACTCTATGTAGATATTCAAAGTGAACTCCACATATTGTTCACTTTGAATATCTTAAAGTCTCAAGCGAGTATATCGCTGTTACAAATAGGAATAATTATCTAGGCTTAATTGTTGATGATAAGCTAAATTGGCTGGACAACATCTTCATTACTTAAAAAAATTGAATCAGCAGATTTACGCCTTTCGCCAACTTGTCAAAATTGTGAATCAAAAAACACTTCTAATGTTCTATTTTGCCCATTTCCAATCTAACTTATCCTACGGAATTGTTTTATGGAGCTCCTCCACCAAAACTGAGGGCTTACTAAAAGCCCAAAAAAGGGCACTAAGAATAATAGACAAAAGACCGTTCAATTTTCCATGTAGAGAGATTTTTGTAAAATTAAAAATTTTAACGGTTCACAACCTTTTTATTTTTGAGCTGTTGAGGACAACAATAAAGAAGGTTCTGCTGACTCAAAATGGAATGATCTCAAACAATTCTTACACGACAAGACATTACTTTCATAATATCGAGTCCACAGTGTCAGATCTTCCATTTTCTGTTAGCAGTTTGGCAATAAAAATTTTTAATACCCTGTCCAAAGATTTAAAAGTAACACTTGAAGAAAATGGATCCTCTCCATTTCTCTCAAAGTTAAAGGATAAACTTACAAGTCAACCTTATTACAGTTTACGTGAGTTCTACGATTGTCCAGTTTAGTTAGTGTATCATTTTATTGTTATCTAGTCTTGTTGTTCGCCAATAGTCTTTAAGAAATTAATTTATGACCTGTACTATAGCTGTACCACTGGCTCTAAGTACTAAATAAAAAATTATTATTATTATTTTTTATAATTATGTACTCTATGCCTGGCCGGCTTACACGCTTCAATACAAATGAAGTTAAAATAAAATAAACTCAGTTAGGATGCAAAGTAATACCTTCACAAGTTTAGAGGCTGTTGTGCACCCAAATCTTTCTGCCCGTTTCTTTAAGACTTCAATGCTTGATACCTGTAAAAACCAACCAAAAAGTTTAAAAGAAATAATATGATACAGCAAGAAGACAAATTACACAATGATATTCACAGTACTGATACAACTTTAAAAGAGCTAGGTACCATACCTCTACACCAACTTGGAGGCTTCTTAATACTAGTTTGTACTGCTAAAATTGAGACCATTTGCACAACTGTGAGTGTATGTAGTGATTGATTTAGGTAGTCACCTGATTCGCATATTTCACTGACAATGACATAATCAATCTACATGGTAGCAACTTATAGAAATGATCCTACCCGTCACAGAAGGCGTAAACTTTTGACAGCCGATTAATTCTTGGCTGTCTTAGGGTAATCTTTTCTTTTTACTTCAAAAGGAAAAGGTAACAGATTACAGCCTTGCTTTCAAATAAGGGGATCATTTTGTGGGTGCAGATGACATCAGTCTTCATGCGGCTTTGCATGTACACTTTGAAAAATTTCTAATAAAATGCAAAAAAACAATTGGTATCTGTTTGTCAGAGTTTTAGGTGCTGAAAAAGGTATGCCTTGCTTTCACAAAAACTACATTATTTATAGGTGTCAGTTTAAAATCCTTGAGGATTTCTCCTGGTCTGAAATAGAGGATCACAGTTGTTTCTGAATTGTGAATTGTTGAATAGTGCTGGGATACATGTACTATCATTAACAACACTTATAAAAAGCCATCATTGCTCTTACGATGTTTGTAGTGGATTCCAGACCTTACCTACTTCGACCATTTGACTTTTGAGGTAACAAATAGTTTCATCGAAATGAAATGCCTCCGTCTTGATTGACAATTCTTTACAAGAACTGAAATAATTGTTACAACAGAAGTGACATTGTGATTCCGAATTTTTAGTAGTGATTGTTTCAGATGGACCTGGAATCCAATGTGAACATTGTAAGAAGACCTAGGAGAGGGAGAGAGAGAGAGAGATTTACTTACAACAGTTGGACCAATTGAAGATGAGCCTTTTGTTCCTCCTGGGGTTCCGAACCTTTCAGCACGAGCTGCCTTCTTGGCATCGTCTGATAAGGGGGTTCCAAATTTTTGAGCTCTCATTTCCAGCCTCTGGACAAAACCATTTTCAGGGTTAAAACAAAGTTAGACCAAAAAAAGGTTCATAAAAGAGGAATCAGAGATTCTGGCGGACAGGTAAAATTACTGTTAATCTCGAAGTAATTAATGTACTATTATGTTTCCGAGGGAGCCGATAGAAAGATTTCAACTGAGGGTCAGCTCCTCTCTCTGATGGAATGATTAGGATTACTTAAAATTTTTTGGTTTCAATTAATTTGTATTAAGTATCAAAACCTTGAGGATCTTGTTTCTTTGGTTATGTAGGTAGCAGTTAAGAAGGGGGAAAAACCTTGTTAACTCTAAGATTTCCATGACTAAAATTTAAATAACTCCCTGATTATTTATTTAAAATTTTCAGAGGAAAAAAGGTTGAATTATTACCAATATTTCCCGAATCAAAATGTAAACAATTCCTAGATTATAAGTAATCTCTAGGCAGGAAGGAAACTCTAAATATTCAATGATGTTTTGGGACAGAAAATGAAAGTCCAATCATAGATCTATCAGATTCGATATGTTTCAGGAGGAACTTGCTTTGACTAACAAATATTTGGACCTACTTCTGGAAAAAATGATGCAATCTGAATCGAATACCAAAATTCTGCTTCATTCCCAATTAAGTATTCCAAGTTGCACAAGAGTGGAATTTCATGGTTCCACATAAAATTTTATGGCCAACAAAGTTTTGCAAATCTCTTGACAGTTTTCCAGATTTTCCCTGCAGCCAAAAGAAATCTCTGATGGTTCCCGGCATTTCCCAGATTGCTGCCAGACACCCTGTTTTTTTTTTTAAGTAATCCCAGAACTACTTACATATCCAATGAATTTTTAGCGGTTTTCCACAAGTATCATTGACTTAACCAAGATAGATGAAGCCTCATGTGAGTGAACACCATGTTGCATTGATGAATGCAGCGGTATTCAGAATTTTGGAAAAGGCGCTATCAAAATCAGTCACCATTAAATAGAGAAACTCAGTGTGAGGAAAAGATATTCTTATTTTTTGCTGATTAATGAAATTCAACTGCCATGTCCAAGATACGATCTTCTTAGGAATTGGACTAAATTTTGCAATATGGAACTACAATTTCTGGCTCAGTTTTTAGAGACAATGTATGTACCATTCGTTTCCCTATGCACAAAAGTGTTCATTCTTACCGATAAGCCAGAAATTGTGGTTCCTAATTGCAAAATGAAGTCCAATTGGCTATTTATTAACTATCTGACAAGTAATGTTTGCTTAAAGTGAGGTTTAATGGGCTCTCGGTAAAAATACATTTTAAAATCATATCTAGATGGTAAAATTAAGTTCTCATTTGCGTTTCACAGTGGTTTTTGGTCATTTCTTTTCACATAGTATGCACAAAAAAACTGACTCCATGTAGACGACTCGCTTTTACTTCCCTTAAAAAAGTCACTTAAATCTACTTTTCTCTCAGCTTTTAATCATTTAAACAAGATCAGTGAATTTACCTCTTTCATGCTGATTGTAGAAATTTTGATAACTTGTCTTTCGGAACTGGGCTTGACTTCAGGCTCTGATTTCTTTTTCTCATTGATGATGACAACATTCTCATCATTTTTATCTTTATTTTCTTTCTCTGTTTCTGGCAATGACTTCCTGACTAGTGTAATTTTTTTGGAGGGTTTCTGCAAAAAAACAAAATAAAAATCAGAAAAAAAATCAAGGTTTGCTAATTTAGTAATAAATCTGATGCACGCCAAATATACAGACAAATGTATGACAGGAAACTGCCCGAGCTAACTCTCTGTTATGAGAGGATGAAGCTAAGTCTTTAAAGCAAATACCATGGTCTCCTCCGGATCGGAGAATTGATTTTTTTTTAATAGTAAAATGGAGAATAGAAAAATCACTCACATTTTCTGTGATTTTTTTCACTGAAATTCTACCCAGATTGCAAAAAGCTAGGTCCTCTTCTATGTACACAAATTTCTAAAGAAATCATCTCATTACTCTTCATCTACTCAAGCGTTCAGATAATAGGACTAAAACACAAAAAATTCACTTACTACTTTAAACAAATATCAATGATACATTCTTGAGGTACGTATGCACATAGTTTAGAAATCATGAATGTTACGATAAGAAAGGAGGGATGCACGTGGCTTAATACCTGGGAGGCATACATACTATAGTCATGGGTTGTTCCAGCAGCCTTAGATCTACCACATTGTACGTAAGTTCTCTTTGACATTTCTTTCCGTTCTAATTCAGCATGTGTTATTAAAGGCAAACCAAGATGATGTTGTTCTCAAAAACATTAAGGCAACTCAGTTCTTTTCCTTAATGGTGTTCATTTGGTATTTAAATTGAATTATAGTACCTAATTTAAAGAAGCTGGTAAACTTGACTAACCTGGCTGGATGCAGGAGTAGCCCCTGCAGTTGTTTTGGGAATTTCTTTGCTTTCTCCTTCTGGCGGTGTATCAATGATGGAGTCATTGTTAGTATCAGCAACTGGCTCATCTAGGTCCGCCTGAGCAAAACAGAATAAAGTGAAAATATTATAAAACCTGGTCAAAAATAATAGCTTATGCTCATGGTACTGAGAAATTCTTGACTGAAGGGTTCTTTTTGGAATGAAAAGGCTCATTGGATGGGAAAATGAAAATGTATACTCACACTATACAGGCCTTGCATAACGGATTACAGCAAACAACCAGAACTCAACAAGTTGACTGCCAGAATAGGTCCATAAAGTCAATGCTTCAGGGGTCATGTGAATTTACAATATAAAGTACAATCAGGTAATTGGCCAATAGGTCAGGCCTGCACTATTTGAGTCATTGGTTCTTTCCACTGATTACAAGACAAAAACTTATTTTCGCGAAAAGATTTTAAAAGCATATTTCATAATTACTGTTGAATTTATATGGGTAACTTACACCGAGAACTTCATCTTCATCAATGTCTTCAGGCTGATCGATTGGCTCCCGATTATCCAAACCTGCGCAGAAAAAATGAGAATGAAGTAAGGAAATATCTATAGTAATGCTGTGAACTAAGTCCACGCTGAAACAGACTGATGAATTTTCGAAGCCTATTCAATTATGAATGATGCGCAATTTTTTTCCTGAGGAAAGAGATGTGGCTTCAATCCGCACATTTTCCTTAGAGATTTCTGACTTGGTTCAATGCATTCTATGGACAGCCATGATCCACAAAAAACCGATTAAGTGTGAATTCACATTCCTTATGGCTACAGGTTAACTGTTGAATTGTTATAAAATGACATTCATCCTCAAATTTATGCAATACCTTACTGATCAGAGTCTTTCAACAACGATTGAAGAATCAAGTCATGAGATCAGTAGCAAATCAATCGTGAAATCTGATGAGGACAATTTCAATGGAAACAAGATGATAAAATTGACCCATCACATAGACAGCTCCAATGCAGCCATTTCTCATCCTCTCTGATGGACAATGGTAAAATCTCAATGGTCAATGTAGATTCAATATTAAAAATGAGGAGCAAACCGCTTACCTGCACTAACGCTTTCAACTTTGCCAGAAAGTCTCTCAATCAATTCAGATTTGTTTCCTGTAGTTGGTAATCCCAGGTCCTTTAGGGCTTTTTTCAGATCGGGAACCTGAATAAGAAAAAATCGTTCAACAATTATGCAGGAACAAATGAAAATTTTCCACCTTCAGATCTACATGAATATTTCAGCAAATTATTAGAGCACAACCAAGAAAGGAATTTTTCGGTTGATTTTCAGATATATTTTTAGCAGCTCTCATACAGTTCCTTAGGATGAGTTAAGGTGATTTGATGGACATCATATTTTGTGTCAGAACGGCATGCGATATATCGCATCAATTGGTTCCATTTTCTCAGCTACTCATCATTTTTCTCCAATTTTGAGATCGCAACTCTGTTGTTAGGAGACTAAAGCACTCACTTACCAATTTTAACAAAGAAATTCAACGTAATAGAGGCATGGTTTTTTTGGAGAGAAAACATCGCATTCGATACTGATATTGAAACTGCACTCGAATGCGATATTTTCCCTCTAAACAAACCACGCCTTTATTACACTGAATTTTTTGTGCTTTAGTCTCCTGACAACAGAATTGCGATCTCAAAATTGGAGAAAAATGACAAGTAGCTGAAAAAATGGAACCAATTGATGCGATATATCACATGCCGTTCTGACACGAAATATTGCGTCCATCGAATCACCTTGAGTAATTGGCGCTCCCTTGTGATCCAGAAATTTTTTGGGAAAGAGTGTCATTTCTTATTTACTATTTACAAGGTGGAGAAATGGTGCTGGGTCCAAACCATTTCGCAAGGAAAACAAAGCCAAGAAGCTCCAAAAATTATAATTAGAGTCAAAATTAAATTTTTTGAACTCTAATGCGTACCAGTACGAAACTGAGGGGGGAGAGTGTTCAGCTCAGACAGTTTGCATTGGAATAAGTTGGAGTCACACTCAGATATCTATACCGGTTTGGGCCTTTATAGACCTCATCAGCAGATCACACTTGGCAGTGTTTACTATTTACCTGGGGGCTGCCAATTTTTCTTACTCAGCCTTTGACAATAAAATCGTAAATCAAGCCTTCATTACTGATCATACTATTGATACCATAGAAACATGCACAGGGGCAAGTTCTTATGATATCGCCAAAAGACTCAAAGTTCTCCTCCTGAATACGGTACACTGACAATGAGAAACTACCAGAACTAGACTTCCACCCAGATCACCTGCAGGCAGTTAAACTCCAGGATGATTATCACTCCTGAAATAGGGCTGTAGGAAAGAAGGGGCAAAGACGCTATCGAGAAACGTACCGTTCTGAACACCGTTGGGCTATTCATTCAGAAATAGGAATGATTTGGGGGGGCAGAATGAGAGCAGAGGGTTTCGGCAAACGTCATGCAGACGAGTGTCGATTATCTCGGACATTTAAACTCAGGAGTTTCATTCAAGCAAGCATGCAAATTTGAGACATGTTCTACCATAGTCTGAAAAGAAAACAGGAAAATCCTGCGGATGAGGATGGATAATCTCAATTTACCTTCCATTTGGAATAATCAACACCTCGAACTTCGTCAGACATCGTGCTTCTTGATGAAGTTTCCTAAAATAAGTTCAAGGATGATGGTTACAGAGATTGATATTTTAACCAAACACGTATGTTGATGAGTTAGTGACTGAGTTCTTGATTAAAATTCCAGATTTTTTGCTAGCCGGCACGTGACAATTACAATTAATCAAAACTTTTGGAGGAAAGCACGGAAAAATACAAACAAATGTCTGAAAGTGGCAAGTGGTGAAATCTAGGCGGGCAGGTTAGGAAACTGAGAATAACACACAAACGCTAGCGCTACGACGAACAAACTAAGTACTAAATATCCCGCCCTTTTCCCTCGCGTTCCCGCGCGAAATTTAAAATAACGGCGCGAAATTTAAAATGACGGCAGTGTCAAACTCGAGCGCTAGTCACCTCATTACAGATATTCGTCATAGTGGCGGCGGCGTATGGCCTAAAACTTTGGAGAACTGAATTAGGAAAAACATGGAGGGGGTCTGGCCTGGACGTTCCTCCTAGCAGAAGGGGTCCTCCACGGAAAAATTAAAGAATTTAATAATTATACGAGGGGCTTGGAGGACAAGGCGCGTAAGCGCAGTTTTTGCTACTTCGAAAAATAAGTGTTTGAAGTTTCAAAATTAAACGGATCCTAATGGTAGAAAGAAAGTTCAAACTGACTCGATGATGCTTAAAAATTGGAATTTGGGAGCGAATTTTTCACAAAATATGCACTCGGACTAGTTTTACTGGAAGTCATGTTATCTCGATTTTTTTCAAAAACTGCACTTATGCGCCTTGTTCTCCAAGTTCCTCATAATGTATACTTTTAAACGCGAATTATGTCCACTGATCACGTACTTACCGATGATCATCGTATAAGTGCAGAACCGCTGATCATGGAGCTCCAAATTCTCGCGCCCTATCGAAGTTTGATCTTCATACGGCAGCTAGGAAATTTTATCCCTAAGGGCGCAAAACCCACGGAAAAATCGCTGCTTGGAAGAGTGATTTTTCCTTTTCATGAATGAATACGAGTGATTTTTCGATCGGGCACGTATCTCTATTACTTGCAGACAGTGCATGGCAGATTCGGAAAACTGATTCCGTATCCCGGACAATATATTCGGGCTCTCGATAACTTCTTTGATTTTGACTACGATCAACGTAAGTTCCCTGCCTGGACAAAGCAAAAGTGACAAAACTACTGCAAGCAACTATTCGTGCTCCCAAGCTGCTCATATTGCTTTCACTGTTATTGAAGGCGAACTCCGGAACTCGACAGAATGAAAAGCATGCAGTGAGGTGAGGAATTAACATGTGCTCCTTGGCTCCCGGCGGTTATTTGTTTATCCATTCATTCAGCATTACTGTTAAGGAGGAATTGTAAAATTAACTACATAGAATTTTTGCTAATGAGCATGTGATGTAGCGCCCCGTGCGAGGCACCTGGTAAACCGGCAGTATCTCATAATTTGATGAAAATTTCTCTGTTTACTGACAATGAAGTGGAAAGTAACAAATATCCTATTCCAGAAACTCTCTGGTACTCGTTCGTTAACCTTAATCGATGTTTTTAAAAAAACTACAGAGTTTTTCTGAGAAGTTTCCGCAAATTTTCCTCAGTGATCGCAAATAAAATCATCGAAAATTTCGACGCGGTATTCTCGTTCGTTCTATTTTCTTTTTATAAAACCAAAGAAAAATTGAATAACATCTGAGTTTCTGAATCGTTACAATGAGGATACATATTTTACTTTTAATTGTGGTAAACACGGAAGTAGAGAGTCAAAAATAATGACACGTAGTCCTAGTTTAGCGGCGGATATAGCGTCGTGCGAGCCATACCAGGGAATAAGGGATCGCGATAGAGTTATCTTCGCAGTGTGACGCGCCTTCCATCCGGCTAGTGGCAATATACCTACACTCGTGGTCGAATAAATATCTCGTTACGCCTGCTATGAATAAAATCAAATATCGACGCCTGCACTCGGCAAAAGTTTTCTTATTGGAACGTTGCACATCTCTACTCATGTTTTATTTTTAATCGATTTTTTTTAAAAAAGCTACACACTGTTTTTTTGAAGAGTTTTCAGGGAATTTCCGGAATGATTTAAAATAAAATCACAAAAAATTTCGACGTGATATTTTCGCTCGTTCTGTTTTCTTTTTATTGTACCAAAATTAATGTAACGCGAATCAAGTTTCTGAATAGCTGCATCGTTTAAACATCGATGAAACGTCATCCGAGTATCTGAATCGTTGCAATGAAGATACATATTTACCACTTAATTGTGGTAAAAACTGGGCAGAGGATGTCAAAAGAAATGACGTGTAGTTCTAGTTTTGCGGCGACTTATGCGTCTCGAAAACCAGTCGAGTCATCTTCGCAGTGTGATGCGCCTTCAATCCAGCTAGCGGCAAAATGCCTATATCCGTGGTCGAATAGATATCTCTTTATACCTGCCGAGATTGAAATCGAATCGACGCCTGGACGTGTAGATTATTTCTCAACATCATCACGCTTCAGCCGCATTTCCCTATCACTGGTCTGCAGACCTGACGCCGCTCGATGCGCCGCGCGGAGGGGTAGCGAGAGACATGACCACGCCTTGCCGGACGTCCACGCTTTACATACGGATTCTCCATGACTCAAAACATCAAAATTGCGAGGCAAAAACGCATAGTAGAACGAGTCGATGGGCGAAGTCGGTCATGGAATATGCAACTGAAACTGGCAAATCCTGAATATCTGATTTGGCAAATTATTCGTCTGAAGGACCAGTAGATAAGGTACAATGAGGGATATTAATTGGATTGCATTTTGCAAAAAGGAACCACTAGCATTGCAATGATGCTAAGATTGTGCAACTTCATCCTTTGCAATAAAATTGCGGAAATTGTGAAAAACTATGAGATTTAGATGGTAATTTTTGTTATAAATTTACAGTTTTTAGCGAGTAAAATAGAAACTATTAAAGGATAATCGGGTTTTTCCTCCAAGACAAAGAAGTTGCACAATCTTAGCAACATTGCAATGCTAGTGGCTCCTTTTTGCAAAATGAAATCCAATTAATGATGGGAAAGTTAATGGGAAGCAGGGAAATCTCCACGGTCCTTCGAGGATAGCAGACTCGCGTTGCACACTGGTTGGATACTGCGTCCAACGCACTGTACTGGAAAAAAATAACATTGGATCTAGAGTCCAGACTCTTGAAAACATTCACAAGAAAAAGGACTCTTGATTCAATCAGATTTAAGCTTAAATCAAAAGGAAATCCGCTCAAATTAAGAGGCTTGGTTCTTGATTTTAGCTTAAATCTGATTGAATCAAGAGTATTTTTTCTTGTCGATGTTTTTAAGAGTCTGGACTCTAGATCCAATGTGTTTTTTTTCCAGTGCGCAGGTGACACCGAGAAATTACATCGATTAAAGCGCGCACCGTGCTGTGCGCGTAATTGTTAAAGTGTTTCTACAGTTTTGTAGGCGCTAATATGCGTTTACGCCAACTGACCGACTGCACTGCGTTTAAGGCGCAATGCGAGAAGTATCTATGCAGTCTTTTAGGCGCTAGCATGCGTTTTACGCCAACCGCGCTGTTTGGCGCAGTGCGTGAAGTATTCTTACAGTCTTGCAGGCGCTAATATGCGTTTATTGCTGACCGAGCTGTTTGGCGCGATTATTCGAACTCGCGATAGAATAATCCCGGCATTTTTTTCTGCTGTTTGTTACTTATTTTTTCAATTTTTTTAAATGATGAAGAGGCTAACCTAATCGATTGAAATATAATACAGGATATTCTGCTGAAAACTAAGAAAGATGAAGACAGTTTTAAATGAAGTACGTTGAGTAGTTTGATGAAGAAAAATAAAGTATGGCAGGGATGCGAGTCTGCAAAGTCGCAAAAGGAGATCGATCCGTGGCCTTGCCCTTTGTTCATCGTTTTGTTAATATCTCGTTCATAAGTTGATCTAATAACTTCCCGTTGTATGTGAATAGTTTCTTACGTATAATTTTGAAGAGCAGACAAGTGAGGTTTGTTTCTAGATCAAGCCCTGTCTATAATCAAAATAAAAATGGTTAAAAATCTAAAATAGTACCTGATAAGTACCTTTCAATTGGGAATGTTGTTATTAATGTTGCAGATAATAACAACATTCCCAATTGAAAGGTACTTATTAGGTACTATTTTAGATTTTTAACCATTTTTATTTTGATTTATCCAACTGAGGATGGCTGAATTTTCAGCCGAAACGTTTTGGTTTTGTGTATGTGAAATTTTAGCCTTGTTACCCGCTTTTTAAATTGTTTTTTTTTTAAATGTATATCTTGTCACGGGCTGCAGAGCATCTATCATATTTCATTTCTATCAAACGGAACTATGTGCATCATGGAGTGAGCCCTGTTATGCACATATTCATATGGGTCTCAGGGCTCATGCCTTAATGCACATAGTTCCGTTTGGCAGAAATACGTCCAATTGATAGTCAATCCGACTCTCTTTCCTCACTCCTTTCCATGAAGTACAACTTTATTAGCCATCGCCTTTCAATGTTACTCCATGATATTGCTTATCTCTTATTGTCTGCCAACGGCCACCGCGCTTCATTTGTCTGGGCACTGGCCCATATTATCAGCGGATAGAAGCAGCCACTGAAGCATGCTCCATGCAAAACATCATTGATTATCCATCCACTCGACAGGATTTTAAAAAGCATCCTGCGAACTTATCAATAGCTCGTGGGAGCAAGCTTGGCGCACAAGTGAACAAAATATCGTCTTTATAGAGCCCTTGTATGTACCATATCCGAAAATATCATAGGTACCCCAAGATAGGAGCATTCGAGGCTCAAAGTTCTCCTCTCAGGAGTGGTCATACTTTCTTCAGCCACAATTACATTATGTGTAAAGCAGATAAACCCATCTGCAGCTTCTAGAATTGATCGCCCCTCACCGCCAAACACAGAATTGTGGCCTTTTTTCCCCTCAAGGACCTTCGCACTGAAAAAAAAATCTCGGTGTATTTACTGAGAAAAGGGTAAAATTACCAAGAATTCAGGGTTCTATTTGATCCCAGTTTTTTCTTGGTAGAATTACCATTTATAGCATCGGTAATTTTACCAAGAAATTTCGGTAAAATTATTGAACTTTCTCGGTAATTTTACTAGACCTTGGTAAAAATGCCAGTATTTTTTATCGACTGTGGTAGAATTACCGAGATAAAATGGCAAAGTTACCGGGAATTGATTACCAATAAAAGTGGTATTCTTACCTGAAAAAAATAAACAGTAAAAATACCGGTTTTTAGGTGAGCTTACCAGTCTCTCTTAATAAAATTACCAATAATTTGTAAAAAAAAGTGAGATGGTAAAGGTACCAACGGACCTTGGTAAAAAGGCCGAGAATTTTTTTTCAGTGCGCTCACAGATTATCTCATCAACAGTCATCAGGGACACACACCCACTTATCCACGATGATCCTCGCGTTGCAAACAAAAATTTTGAAGTTTTTCACATCCATTCTGATGAAGTTAAAAATCTAAATGTTTTGTAATTCACTGTATTGACACTTTCAAAAACTCTGAAGAAATGAATAGCGTTTAAGTTGCTGAATCCCTCTAAAAAAATTACTAACCAATCATTAATGGTCAGGTCAGGTTTCACTCGCAATTGCAGGCTAATTTTTAATTACATTGATTCTAAACCGAAGGTTAAAGAGGGCAGAAGGAGCTAATTTACATTACGAAACTGCGTAATTTTCACCTGCGGTGCTTAATTTAATTCTCTATTCACTATCGTAAACTGCATAGCGTTCATAGCGTTTAATATTAAAAAAGCTATTCCAATGCTCAAAAACGTTTGTAAAAATGTTGTACGTCGCGGCGCACAGTGGATCGAGTCAATTAGAGAGGTCGGACATAAAATTTTCGACAAAGACTGCGAATTTTGGTGTTTTTTTCGTCACATTTTACATTTCAAGGTGTGCTTTTGAAAGAAAATTTTACGAGGAAACCGATGAAACCACATTTAGAACTTCAAAGTTTCATTTAAACGGAGTTATAAGCGTTTAAAGTTTTCAAGTCTTGTCCCACCTCTTCTATTAAGTCGATCCTCTGTGCGGCTTCGTCTTATTGTTAGATCCAGAACCGGTCATATTTCCATTCTACAATGTTGCATCGCGCAGGCGCTCGTCGCACATGAGGCAAGCTTGTAAAGGGCGGTGAAAAATTGCCGAAAAGAAACTATCTTTATTGCGACTCCACTTTGCTCTGTGGCTTTATCAGCACTCGGTGTCAGAGTTCACTGCCGCTCTAAAAATACAGTAATATACTGACTGTCAGACTCAACGCGCTACGAACTGGACGCGCCGACTAAGCATTTTATTCCAGCAGACACCAATGTTTTGTATGCATCATTCTTATTCGCTTTCCTTGGGTGAAATCATCTTTTCTCAGAAATACTGTTGTTCCGTTGCGCGCTACAACTTCGTGACTTCCTTGCTCTAGTGTACACACAATTTTTTCGAGTGGTGTTCTATTTCTATAATCCGTCCACTTTACCATTTTATGGTAAAAAGTGCAATACCTTGTGATTGATATGCAGTGATAATACAGACAGGTGGTCACGTGCGGGTATAATTGTAGTTTTTCTCTTCGTTCCATCCCCTTTTCTATCAAGTTTTTACCCTTAAAATTGTTGTCCATTTTCTTCTCATATTTTTCTGTGTTGTTGACATGTTTTCCTTTTTTCTTATGGGTTTTTGTGGGTGAGTCCGGCTCCATTTTGAGTATTTCGCTGCTAAAAAACGTGAAAACCTGCGACCCGGCCATATTTCCTACGGCATTTCTCAAACGGTTTGGTAATGACACAAATCGGAATACGCAAAACTATCCCCACGCTGTTATTTTTGGTGAGTAGTCATTTACAAGTACGTTTGAAGGTTTTGTTTTTAACTCTGTACCTACTTAGTTTAGAATTAGATTTTAAATGTGAAAACAAGAGGGTTTAGCAAAAGCCACTATTTCAAATCTTTTATACGTAATGCAATGACCATGACTTGGACTGCATTTTGCAATTTGGAACTATAAATTCTGCCTCCTCTGGAAAAACACTTATGAGCATAGGGAAACCAATGGCACATACGTTGTTTTTAAACCAGGCTCGACTTTATAGTTCCAAATTGCAAAATGTAGTCCACTTCATAGTATGTGCATTTTAGTAGCTCAAAAATGTATCTTCCGGGAAGATTCTTCCCATCACTCCGCTGACATTTTTAGTTATGATTTGTTACTTTCTCTAAGCTGAGGTCACGCAGTGAGATCTTCACTACTTTGGGGTTTTTTCACCTCAACAGCAGATTATACTTAGTTAGAGTATCTTTACAGCGAGAATATGGCCACTGATTGTGAGTCTCAAAGGGATCCTTAGGATCCCAAGAAACGGCGGTGATCCTTGGTCGGAGAAGGTGTGAGCAGGTGAGAAAGGGTTGTTGCCAATTTTTGACGTTCATCACACTTGGCCATGTTCAGAGAATGGCGGGAGATAGGTTGCCGAAGGAGGTCCTGGATTGGGTTCCTCCTGGGAGGAGGTGCAGATAGCACCCATCGAGAGAGTGGAGGAAGGGAATCGAAGTAGAAACTCAAGGTGCTCGATGCCCGAAGGGTTAATTGGACTGCATTTTGCAATTTGGAGCTGTAAATTCTGTCTCATCTGAAAAAACACGTATGTGCCTAGGGAAACTAATGGCACATACGCTGTTTTTAAACCGAGCCAGAATTTATAGTTCCAAATTGCAAAATGCAGTCCAATTTTCAAATATTTTCCTTTCTGGCCTAGCAAAAAGTCGGGAAAAAATGTGTCCACCCATAATCAGTACTGTATTGTTACATCGATCTACTTTAGAGTCCCTTTATACCCAGAGTTAAGACAACTCACTTTTGGTTGGGCCAGGGTTGGGCTGAAAGTGGCCTAAAAAAAAATCCAACTCTGATTGGTTCTCGCTCATGGAGGCCGAAACGAGTGCACCAAGATGGCGGTACCTCGAATGTGAACAAGAATAATGAAAATATTACCTAATTGTGGTTTATCAAGAGTAAATTGTCATTTCCATCGGTCCAAAATGAAAATAGATTAAGAAATTATTCACAAACCAATCTCATTTTCTTTTTAATCTATCAATTTGTTGATGTTGTTGTTTTTGTTTGACAGACATCGCAGGATTCCTGATCCTTATCCCTCAATATCGTTCGTTTGAGTGCACTCGTTTCGGCCTCCATGGCCAGCCAAGGCCGGCTGCCCAGAGACAAGAGACCCTCCACTAGTAACTTGGCTATGGTGGAAGCTTTTACTTTCGGGACTTCAGCATTCTACTGTTGACTTACCTACATGGTTGATGTTCAACAACGTGTTGGCAGTTTCGTTTTGCAAACAAGCCGAAAATGGCCGACGTTTGGGAAAGTTGTTTGGCTTATGACGTCATCCGAAGCTCATCATCGACCATGTAGGTAAGTCAACAGCCGAAAATATGGTGATGACTGTTGCTCGCTCATAATTGTCCATAAGGAATTGTTGAAACCCCGAAAGTAAAAGCTTCCACCTGTCGCTAGGAGGCCAGTAGAGGGTCTCTTGTCTCTGCGGCTGCCAGTCAGCTGATAATCGAGTTGTCTTAACTCTGGGTATAAAGGGACTCTAATCTACTTGTATGTTACAGGTAATCACTGCTAGACTCGATGAAGCGCATAAGTCCCAGGAGTCTGAGAACGTTCCCACCTCACAGGAAGCGTCACCATTCGATGCTGAGTACCTCGATAGAGTCTGGGGAGGACTATCGTGGAAGAGGGAACATGAAATGGAAACTTTGAATATAACACTTCATCTCAAAATACATCCTATTAACCCTACTGCTTTGCTATGGGAACCGGCTACAGCAATCGCATCTTACTTGGAAGAATCTTGTGAGGAGAATAATTGGGTCCGCGGGAAAAAAGTGCTGGAGCTGGGGGCGGGGCTTGGCCTCCCTGGCCTTGCTGCTGCGTGTTTAGGGTAAGAATTTCAAATGGAAAGTAGACGACGTGTAAAGTCAAAGATAAACTAAGAGCCGCCATGAATTGCGGGCCGAGTGCCACGCGCCACCCCCGGTTTTTGCGAGTCGTCTCTGCTTGGCTCACCCGCTTCGTGCCCACTTCCTGGGGCCCGTATGAAAAACTAGGGGGCCCTGCCCCCTGACCGCTACGCGGCCCAACCCCTGGGAGAGCGCCTCGCGCCCTCAGGCCCGCTTCGCGGGCTCTATACGCCTGTTCTTCCATTTTAATACACCATTTTGTGTTCGAGCTGCATCGATTTCAAAATTTTTGACGTAACACTCAGATTTGTAAATAATGATGATGTAATGTAATATTTTTAAATACTTNAGGATTTTGACCGTTAAGAGTTAATAATATTTGGTCCGACCCGACGCGACGCAGTGCTTGCCTTCTCACTTTGTATCTGCTGTAAATATTAATTGAAATTCAGCAGTCAAGTAAATCGACCAATGCCGTAAATCGAAGCCGGAAGAACGCAGGAAAAATTGAGTTAAACCTTATACCTTGGACCTTGAACCTTGAACCTTGAACCCCGAGCGATGCACCGTTCCTCAACTCTTCGAATGAGGAGCCCTTCACGAGCTTTTCCATTGTTTTATTGTTTATTCGAGTCACTTAGGTAGAATCCCACACCTTGACGTTTCCAGCGGAAACGACATATCTCTCACGCTATTAACATTGGACTTAAGTGACATGAGCTTTAAAAGCTCTACAACATTAAAAGTTCGGGGTTTCATAATTTTTTGCACATCTACATCTACTACATATGACATACATGTAAAGATCATCCTTATCGGTCCGGCACTTCGTCAGAAATAGTGCTTCCAATATTTTGCTTGTAGTTGTATAATATAGATAACACGGGGCTCGTTTTTCATCGAAGATATCTCGAAAACAAGCCCAAATTTATGCGTCAAAGATTTCAGAGATCAATTCTTCAGATTTTTCTGAAGAGTTTCATGGGTGATACATAGCACTTTCTTTCGCAAACGCACCGAACAGCTCGACCTGAATTTTACTTTTCCCCATGACACCAAGTGTCATATTTTAAGATTTAAGAATTTGAATGAATAAATTCCAGGTCCACGTCGGCTCCAGGTTCGGTGTGTCTCAGAAAAAATGTCATGTATTATCCATCAGTATCTTCAGAAAATCCGGGGAATTTGTTTCTGAAATCTACCACTACCACTGCCACTACCACTACTATACTACCGCACTACCACTATCACTAACATTACCGCACTACCACTGCTACTACCACTACCAACACCACCACCACTACCACTACCACTACCACTACTACTATATTAACATGCCGCTCTTATGGCGCACCCTAGCAAATCTTCTCCGGCAAATCACATCTCCTCAATTCCTGCCTTATGTTAGTGTATATGGACGATCGGTGAATACCGCCTCTTTGATATCGTCGCATTTAATTTGCTTTGATCGTTTTTCTTTACAACGGTATAGGGTTTCTTCCCATGGCGTTTTTAATCAGAGAAAAAAAAAATAGAGCGAAACTTACTCTATACACGACCCTCGTACTTAACACGAAACAAGTACTTATTTCATTGTTTGTTCGAGAGCAGTACAAATTTGATAATTCGTATTCCTTATCGTTACTTCAAATTTTTCGTTTCAGAGGAAACGTTACGGTCACAGACAAACCGGAACTTTTACCCTGGCTACAGCACGGCATCGATCTAAATCTGAAGAGTATTCAAAACACCTCGGGAGAAATTCGAGCTGAGGTATTAATTTGGGGCGATGACGAAAAAATTAGGTCCATGCCCAGGCAGGATCTGATTATAGTGTCAGAAGCAATCTATGATATAAGTGTAAGTAAATAATAGGATTATTCCCCTATGTCATCTCTTTAATGGGGCTGTCGCAAGATCCAGGAGTTGCCTTGTAAATGTCGCAGGCAATTAGCAATCGCCGGCAATTTGCAAGCGGTTCACACGTTGTTTCAATAAATCGCAATAATGCGCATCGGCATATTGCAATCTTTAAGGTTATGGTCTTCCAAAGTATGAGCTCGGCTTGAAGCGCCTTCATTTTTTGTGATACTCTACGCTTTGTCACGGTGTTAGTTTAGTTGCCTGTCCGATCTCAACCCAACTAATGTCACGGAGTTTACTGCACTCTCTTCTGAGTGTGCATAATTCTGCCATGTTTTAAGGGTGGAAAACTTATTCACATTATAGGCAACATAATCAGCACTATAATCTTGTTCTTTTATTTTTGAATTTTATAATTTTCTATATATTTATTCACCACTGGCTTGTTAATTGCCGGCGATTGCTAATTGCATGCGACATAAATAAGTCTTTCTAATAACAAGTGATGAAATATCGACCATATTTTCCCATGTCCGACTTTTTTTGATTTTTCGTTCATTCAATATTATTTTGAGGGACTTCGGTTTCCAACATTTCAACCCCCGAAAAAAAAGTATGGTAAGGGGGGTGGGGGTTCAAAGTTCAAGAACCCGGTAAAAGGCCCGGTAATGCCTTATTACTTCATAACAAATGATGACACCTGCTTTGTGTACCTGGAGTCCCTTTATAAGGCGAGGAATAGTGACGTGTGACGTGCTTTGCGATATATCGATAGATCTGCCATTTAAACCTATGAAAAAGGATCGATAAACAGGGTGTTCGCAGCGGACACCTTAATAATCGATTATTTATCATACCTTCAAACGGGGCAATATCGATAGTCGATCATTCACGCCTCGCCACCGGCGAGGAAAGGCCATAGAGGAAAAAAGGAGGTTTTCGCATTTCGGGCATCTTGGAATTTTTCTGATGACGTAGGTCGGTACGGCGACTTTCATCATCGATTTTCTTAGAAATGGTGTAGTTTATGGAAAAAATGCATACCACATAAAGTAGTTGGAATTAAATCATGAGTTGATTTAAGCAAAAAAATCGAACATTATGATCCGCTTTCCATACTTTGAATTCCGGATTTCGTTGGCCAGGTTGTACCGACCTACGTCACAGGGTAAACAAACCTCTAGATGCAAACACCTCCTTTTTTTCTCTATGGGGAAAGGCAACTCGGCTCACGAGTGTCACAAACGAGAATGGAGATTACACAATTTAAACGATTTTTGTAAACTTCGATCAACTCATTCCCGAATTCCTTCTCTTCATTCTTCTTCTCATTCCATTTTTAGTAGTAAAACTAAAGGCGGTAGTAAACCGCCTTTGCGAATCGTTTTGACCTTCTACTCGATACAATGTGCCGAGTGGCTGAGTTCCTTGCCGGACAGTGACTGGCGGGCTCGTTCTGAATCTTTCAAAACTTGTAAAACATTTAGGTACTAATGGTCTAATGCTGCAATCTTTTAGGTTGATTGATCTTCGTCACGGACTGTATTTTCTTTTTGTAAATCCTAGAGATGAGCGCGTTTCGTTTCGTTTTTCATTTTTTTTTTAATACCCACATATAAAACCGTGCCACGCTAATTTGAAATAAGTATACCTACCTGTGTAACAAAAGCAGTTCAGCCATCCTCGAATGTGAATATCACTCCTCCGTTTTGTTTAAAACGCTGCCTCGGAACATATCTGGGCCGCAGTTATTTCTTGATAACGTTTGTATCACTCACGTGATAGGAACGACAGCCGTAAGACCACCAGACCGTTAAGAAGAAAATAAAAAAACGCCCTTTAAAACTACTTTAGACTTTTACCGATGATGAAGATCACAATTTTCTTCCGATATGTTCCAGACTGTTGACGATCTGATCTCGACCATTGGTTCGTCTTTCTCACGATGACACGACGATAATAGTGAGCCAAGGAGTCTGGATAGAGGGATCGACTTTGGAAGGAGCTTGGACGAAGTTCTTCCACGATTCCGCCGAATATTTTGAATTTTCACCGTTACCTGTTGAGTATGATGATTCTATTTCGTTTGTAGGTAAAGTCCGGAAAACTTCAAACACGGAGGAAAAAATATCAGAAATTTCACCCGAGCACACAGAATTGTGAACAATTTGTATGTCACTCGCGAAGTCATATTCAGGGGCCAAGTTTTTCGAGTCAGGCTGCGGAAGTTTTTGGGGCATGTTGACGAAGTTTCCGGTCAAGCTGCCGATCCCTAGCCCCCCAGCTCTAAAATTTTCTATGAGGTAATGAGATATTAATCGGCTTTGAATTATCTTTGACGGGAGAAAATTTACGATAGTTTAAATTTACTCCCAACACATGTTCTCCTCCAAAATACACCTTATTGCATTTCTATTAAACGCGGCCCAAATCTAGTCGTAACCCCGAACTAAAATAACTATACCGAAAATATGTGTTCACAGTGTGACACGGGCGCAGGCTTGGCACTGGACTTGCCGGAATAACGAAAATTATTTTAATTTTAATTCAATTTTTCGAATTTTCAATGTTTCCAATTTTTTTCAATTTTCAATTTAATTTGTCTGTCTTTTCCAGAAAAACACCGAAAATATGAATTCCTTGCTCTTGTTTTCTTTTTTATTATATAGAAATACCAAGAGATTTTTAATTATAAAATGTGCACCAAAATAAGATTTCTTTCATTCCCTACTCGGTTACCGCCTCCTATGATCCTGAAACACCGTGAAACACTAACCCAAAATAGAATCTGATAGCTTAAGACCCCATCTTCGACCCCCGTCATCGACGGTTTGAAACCATTCAATACATGATAGAAGCATCATCAGTGGCATTCGGAAACTAGTAATCATTGGTCTTATTTTTCACCAACATCACACGCTTTGAAATCAATCAGAGATTTTAGAAACGTAATTTTCTTTACTGATTCATTGCAACATTATTGATTACAAACATGTTGTACTCCAAATAAGTCATCACTCCTCCTCAGAAATAGCAAAGCTATATCTTCCATAAATAGTCAAAGTTTCCCTCTTGGATAAAAGGGAAGGTTGGTATTTTTGGGGAAACGGGGGGGAAGGACGGCTCCAACATAACAAAAATAAGCTTTTGCGCAACATTCAGTCGCAATGGTGAATTAGAAGCAAGAACCGGCGCAAAAAGTGCATATTCATTTGTATCGGAGTACAAGGCAAGGTCACGAAAGTTCGCGAAAATTTGATTTTACTGTAAGCAAAGTGAGGGAATTGCCCGTTCACGACACCACTCAGAGACTGTTGTTGAAAGGTTGACATAATATTGAATCCGAAAACATGTTCTGCAGCGGAAACACAATAGTTCTAAGTTGAAATCGAAGGTTTTGATAATTGATTAACTAGGTTTGAGGAGGACTATTTCGCTGTAACATTATTCTCTAAATCAGCCTACTCGTGGAGCAATAGGTTCGTTGATTTAAAAATGGGCAATTTTCCCAAATATTCTGTAAAATTCGCCCAACGAAATGAGCTAGACAATACTGTGCATGTATATTCGCTGGTGAGAAAGCGCGCTTGAAGTGCATAATAGGCTGGAAAAATGACCCCGACGATTTGACCAGGCGATTTTGTCGAATCAGTCGACTGGATTCTTGAAATTGACCGAGGAAGTGATAGACAAAGATACAAAGTGAAAATAGGGAATAGATACCGCAATGGAGCGATCCTATCGGTAGAAACGAGAGATTGCTATGGACGAAGGAGGTATAGCAATTGACCAACTAAAGGCACCCCACGAGGGACCCTTTACTTGGATTACATTTTGGAATAAGGAACCACTATCTTTAGCTCTTCCATAAAAGCACGTATCTGCATAGGGAAATCAATGGCATATATGTTGTTTCTAAAATGAGCCAGAAATAGTGGTTCCTTAGTGCAAAATGTGCACTTAGTCCACCATTTCCCCCCTGCTTTGTCTGTAACAACCAGCCATTTCCACCGATAGGATCCCTCCATATCTCTTTTGTCTTCCTCGTCTATCAATTTCAATAATCAGTCCGAAATATCAACGAAAAATCATGGAGGATTTAAGTTTTATGTTGACCAGCTTCTCGAAAGAAAAAGAAAATTTCTAAGGAAGTCTGCAACGTCGCAAATGGAGAAACGTCGTCTGGGGACGCGTTTGCTACGGCGCCTTGATGCAACTATACAACCTCGACGGATGTCCGTATTGCGTTCAAAAAATTAAAGGCGTTTTGACTCCCTGATCATACTACCTGTAGTTGATTCGATCGACAAACGCGTTGGTCGGCGGTGACGGGGACTTGATGCAACTTTTTAAACTTGATGGATGTCCGTATCGCACCGACTGAAGTGCGAAACCACGTATCTTCATTGCGGTGTTTCAAAATTTCCGTTCTTAATTCATCTCTTCCAAGAGAAACAATCCAAATTTACGACTTTAAATTTTGAACCAAATCTTCTGCTATCGAATACGAAAAATCATGGAGAATTTAAGTTTTATGTTGACCAGCTTCTCGAAAGAAAAAGAACATTTCTAAGGAAGTCTGCAACGTCGTAAATGGAGAAACGTCGTCTCTCATTTTGCCCAAAAATATGTATGTATAAAATTGAAGGCATTTTGACTAGCCTCTGACCCGTAATTCGGGTCATAACACATTACGATTGCTGTCACTTTTTTCAACAGACCAGGATGGGTCAATTGTGCTAGGCACAGAAACGTGTTTTGATGAATTATTCTTGCAGATTAGTTGAAAATTTAAATGGGAGAATTCGCAACTTTACCACGTAATATAAAAAAACCTGGGCCATATTTTGAAAATCTAAAAAAAGTTGGCTTATCTAGAGACAATTGCCCGTCGATAGCCGCAAAAATCATGAAAATCGGCCCGGTAGAACGCTGGAACTAAGCGTTACCAGTTTCGCAAAATTAGGAGGTCTTGGAGCTTATAGTATAGATAATAAGATCTGTTCAGGCCGCAACTTTCTACGTTCAATATTAACCGAGATATCGCCCTTCGAAAAGTCAAATTTTTGACGTCATCCACCGCGGCAGTGACACCCTTGGTTTCCTTCTCTATTGTTCGATCAGTGATGCAGGGGGTGCAACGTGAAACATCAGCGACGTTAAACGTAAACAAACTGAGGTGAACTGACTGACCGCCAGGGTCGGACTGGCTCGCATCTGAGGGCGTAGACCCTTGGCTGGTTGTTTAAAGAGGCGAAATGTGATATTCCCAGGTATTGCAACCCCTACGTTGGAGAGAGGTTCAGAAAATTTTGACAAAGCAGCACATGTTCAAGCTATTTTCAGGTTCAAAGTTTATTAATCATACAGAGTAAAAATTGCGAGATTGAATGTATTGAAGTAACTGACAGACTTCTGAAATTAATGGAAACATAAAAAATTAATGCCACTAGACGCGTCCAAGCACCATTAATTGCAAAAGAATCGAGCCAATGCTGCGAGCTTAAGCCGTAGGTCTGCATATGAATCCTAAAAAAGAATCAGACAAGAACCTAAAAAGAAGAAAGAAGGAGTATCAACACAGCCGAAGACAGGAAAGACGAATTCGCGCCTCCTCCTTAACTTTTCTCCCGAATCTGAGCGACACCTCAATGGCAGCATATAGCAGAGCATTGAGGGCTCACGCTTCGCGTCATCGCATCTTCAATTTTTCAGATGCAGCACGGACGTCCATCTAGTACGAATAGTTGTGTCTCTGCGCCGTCGTAAACGCGCATCTTTTCCCTCCCTCTATTTCCATTTTGTGTTTGTTTCTGTTTGTCTAATTCGTAATGGTGCTTCAAGCACTACGTGAGTAACACACCCGAAGGTAAGAGAGATGTGTTCCGGTCTCTTCTTTAACTTTTCTCCCGAAAACGAGCGACACTTCAATGGCAGCATATAGCAGAGCATTGAGGGCTCACGCTTCGCGTCATCGCGCCTTCAATTGTTCAGATGCAGCACGGACGTCCATCAAGTACGAATAGTTGTGTCTCTGCGCCGTCGTTAACGCTCCGCTCATCCTTTCCCTAGCTTTATTTCCGTATTGTGTTTGTTTGCGTTTGTCTCAGTTGAAATGGTGCTTTTAACTAGTAGCATAGAGCAAAGCATTACGAGTTCACGACTCATGCCATCGCGTCTTACATTTTTCATATGCAATGTGTACATCCATCTTATTATCCATCGTTTACACTGTAAATGTCTCTTATTTTCGAATTCCGAGATAAATTAGGGTTGAATTTGCCCGAGATATGCCATGGTATGACCAAATCAATAGTTATTTTGAAACGGAAGAAATATGTTTAAAGGTCTCTCAAGAGTCTATAAAGGGTGCGTTTGTGTAAAAATCGAAACGATCATCGCTTCTAAGGGAGTTACACATAGCGAAAGAAGGAGGGGGATGATAAAGCGCCTGTATGTTAACAAAGAGGTGAAAATTTCACGGAAAAGTGTTTACGCTTCAGAAAGTAGTTCTTGGACCCCTGTTCACCACTACCATGCGTAAAGGCACCTTTCTTTACTCCTAACTCTCTCTTCTTCCGTTCATTGAAGACATTTTCCGCATATTTTCTTGGCCGTACTTTTTTTCTGTTCTCATTTTGCTATCTGTCAGAAGGGTGCGTTTTCGGCGCGCCGAGGGGGCGTATCTGCCAATGGCAGATTAGCCTTATGGCCAGTCCGAGCCTGCGAGATTAGGCGGTCAGTGACCGCCTAATCTCTTCGCGGCGAGTGCGTTATATCCCGATCAGATCTTCGAAGTGCGAATCCGTCTGTTTCTTGAGTTCACGTTTAACGTCGTTGAAGTTTCGCGTTGCACCCTCTGCATCACTGATCGAACAAAAGAGGAAGAAACCAAGGGTGTCAGTGCGGCGGTGGATGACGTCAAAATCCTGACTTTTCAAAGCGCGATATCTCGGTTAATATTGAACGTGGAAAGTTGCGGTTTGGACAGCTCTTATTATTTTGCGCTAAATTCTACAAGAATCAAGCATCAAAACACGATTCTGTGACCAGCGCAACTGACCCATCGCTGGATTAGCTGACGCGGTAGCTATTTCAGCAATTTTTTTTTCTCCGTGTAATGCCGCGATCACACGCTGAATTTAGCATATGAATGTGGAAGTCAACAGCCATCGCCCAACGACCGAAATTTCGCAAATTCGAGTCAATTTCATCCAGATGTGTATCAAATCTATTCGAATAGTTCAGACAAATCCAACATTAGTCCGATGGTTGCTGAGAATCGTCGCTGAATTTTGCGCGTCACGCGCAAAAGTCAGACATCGGGCCGATGACTTCCACATTCAGCGTGTGATTGCAGCATAAGTATTTTCAAGTACGGTGGAAGCAGGACGGACGAAATTCGGGCGCCGCGGCACGCGACGCTGATGGATGAGAGAAGGAGGATGTGCCACCTCCGTAGCGCACGGGTCGCGACGCGCCGCGCCGTGTGTCGCGTGCGCCATGGGTTATTCCGAGATCAACAATAACCCATCGCACTCTCTAACGGGAATCCGGTTCCTTGGCATTATTCCGTCGTCGCCGCTGTAACTCCATAAGCTCGTACTCGCCTCATTTAATTGTCACTCAGGTCCCTTATCATCGTCGCTACAGCCGCCACAACTTTGAATTTTGTCACAATTTTCGGTTTCAGGATTTAGTTTTATAGTGATATTTGAAAGTGAAAGTGGCTTCATATTGGATTCGTGTTGCGAGGATTACAATTCTGAGGTATGAGATTTTATTCACGTAAGTGCACGTTCATCCTCGTTAATGTAAAGTATTCTTCTTCCATATTAAACACTAAGTATCGATTTTCCACGATTTTAGCTTATCCATAGCCCACTGAATAAGGGTTGTACCTTCTCGTTTCTCTTCCTCTCTTTTCTTGACGCAAATTGGAGAAAAAGCAAAATAAAAGGTGAATTGAGTACATTTCTATAACAAATTTGCGTCTAAATTACTATAAGAGGTGCTAAGATTATATCAATATAAAATCGTTAATGTTTTCCATTTTAAATAGCTGTCGAATGTCTTTCCACTTCCTTTTTTCGGGGATAAAGTATTTTGAATTGTGTAATTCCATGTTTCATAAAATCTCATACTACCCGCAAAACTTCCGGTTTAGATCACCGGAGGTACTTGAAACTGTCCTATAAATTGGCTCAAAATAAACGAACTCGAAAGGCCAAAAAGTTATGAATGTTGTCGTTTTATGTTGCTCATGATTACCTACTGTGTCATGTATGTATGTGTGAAGCCGCTTTTATAGCGCGCTCTCTGCCGCTCTGTGACTCCTAGCCGCCAAAGGCCCCCATCCTCACGAAGCCATTTGTTAACACCATACCTATTAAAGGCATGCTTGTGTCATACTCATTATAATTTTAAAAATCTTAAAGAGCAGGGGTTAAATCAAATTAACGCCAATCATATTTTACAGCGAGAAAAAAAAACCACAGTTATTCTACCGCTACAACGGTAGTAATGTCACACGGGATTCCACGGTAGTAGAACCTTAGATTTTGATTCTTGTAACGATGAGCACGGTGATATGACCGCCACACTATTATGAGCATGATGGTTATGCTACTAAGCTCATCAATAATATTACCGAAATCCACGGTTCCACTATACCGCGGAATCCCGTGTGACATTATTACCGTGGTAACCGTCGAATAACTGTGTATTTTTTTCTCCGTGAACGTTCAAAATTCGAAATTTCAGTTCAAATTTAACTTAATCATAACGTATGAAAGTGTCAGTTCCAGAAATGACACGTGCAATGCTAATTTGTGGTACCCATCAAGAGAACTGCTCACAGTTCGTCGTTTAGAAGTTCCACGTGAGCCTTATTTTACGTATGAATCCATGCTTTCTCAGGCTCATGTGGAAATCGAGATGCGCTCTTATGTCAGAGAAGCGACGAATTGAGCGGATGGGAATGCCCAAATTCATCGCTAATATTTTTTAGACAGCTAGAGTGAAAATGAGCCAAAAAAATCAGAACTAAAATTTTACTGGCCATTAGACGTCGAATTTAACAATTCATCGACTCATGACTTCTATTGTTAGGTATCTCATCTTTTCTGCCGTGCTAAGGAAAAACGACATATGAACATTCGAGAGTTGCTAAATTTCCGTCGATAAAATGTTTATTCGTGAGGAACGCTTTGCATATTTTACCTTTTATCGATTTTTAAAAATTTTAGGTGAAATTGCGAACAAAATTACACGAAACATTTGAAGGAAAATATTCACAAATTTTCCCGAGAATTCGTGATTTACCGAAGGTTTGGCAACACCTGGGGCTCATGCGACGTTCTTCCTTAACACGGCCGTTTTAGGGTGCGATTTCCAAGAATTTCTCAGAATTTTGACAGCATCGATTCTTTCTGCAAATTGACGCTGATGTGTCATCCACTCATCCGGTCTCAAACAACCAATTAGCGATCGTAAAAAAAGGTACCAAGGGCAATACGCAATTTTTTAAAGGACTCATTTGCAAGCGGAATTCAATAAAATATTTGATAATTCCAAATCAATAGGGAAAAAAAAGTGTTAATTTTTATGGAAGCCTTCAAATTAATGTAAGAGTTGTAAATTTGGAGACAATGCGCCCCCATGCAGCTGCTCTCTCGGCTGACATACTTCGATTGATACAACTGTCACTTATCACAATTGAATGGTGACACGCAAAAAAAGCCCAACCTCTGATTGATGATGAGCCTCGAATAGTATTATAGATGTCAGTCTCAGGGGGCTTCTGAGCTGATTTAACCATACGCATTTTTATGAATAAATTGACAACTTGCCGTTTATATAATGCTGTAAACTGCGGGAAAATTAGCTTTCGCTTTTACCCATACTACGGAAAAATCGCGATATTTTGAAATCAAATTGCGATTTTTTTTTTACGATTTTTGGCGATAAAATCGCTAAAATCGTCAACATCTGAGCGATTATCCTCAATCTTATCGTAATTTTATCTCTCTAAAATCACGTTCGACAAAATCGAATTTTTTATCTCAATTTTTCACGAGTTTTTGTTCTATAGTATTGCGATCAATCATCGTCGTTAAAATCTCGATGTTATTGCAAATTTATGCGATGAAATTACGATATATGGCAATTTTCTATCCTCGATAAAATCGTTTTACATTCTCCGATCAATTCGCAATTTACCGCGATCACTGCTACTTGGGTAGGGAAATGGCAAATTGATTTTGGGAGTAAAAATTGGTTTATGGTTGAATAAATGAAATATTTACGCGTACAAAGTAAAAAAGTAAGAGGTTTATGAACTTTTAGGGTGATGCTTCGAGCCTTGGCACAAAGTCAGCAATGTATACTCGGCTCATATGTTCATATGGATTATTATGGTTAGTTGAGCATAGATATGGGAGTCGGAAGTAACCACGCTAATTAATGTTACAGAAAAGGCATAACAATGAAACAAGCTTAGGCTTAGGATCAACGGTAGTAAACAGTAGTTTTAGGCAAATTAGAAGCAAATGTTGTATGCAAAGTCTATAGTGTTGCGTTGCATGCACAGAGAAAAAAAAGAATCCTTGCTCTTAGAATGCTGGACTCTAGGTTCATAAATTATTTTACTTTTCTTGTCGTATAGATACGATGTTACGGTTGTTTTCAATCGTTCAGGGGCTTCTTCCATTACAATCAACAATCATATTGGATGTTTAAACTCACATAGTGAATCGAAGAAAGTGTTATAATTTTTCCTTGTCAGATGCAGCGTTCGTACTATTAAATTTAGCAATCGACAAAAATTATTTCAAAATTGTTAATTTTTTGTTTTTTTTTCGGAGTGATTGCATTGATTGAAATGCCTCTGCCCTAGTTTATGCGTGGATGCGTAACATGTTGAGCTCATTAACATGCATGTAGAACAAAGAGGGATGGGGGGAGATCTTCTAGAATCCTCTCCTCAAGACTAGCTCACAATGATTCATCTCAAAATTGAAAAAAAGATGACATTTTTGCCATTGAAAATAAAGCTCGATAATGTTATTAAAATTTTAAATACCTTGAAACCCTCCCTCCTCTAGATCGCATGGGGGTCCCTTGACTGTTTCGGTTCATTACAAAAAACACCGCATATCAAACGCGTCTGGGTGTGTTACTCATGAACAACTTAATAATCGAAACTAACTCTGCTCATATAACTGGACCGCTTTAAGCAAAAAGGGATCAAGCCAAATCAGTAATTATCAAATTTTTTACCAAGTGTTATTACCAAATTTACATGAAAACGGTCGTGCGAATTTCATTGAATTCTCTGCATAGTACGAATTAAATTCCATGAAATTTTCAGAGGAATCCGCACAAACGTTCTCTTGCAAACAATCGAATCGCTCCTTTTAATTTCACTAGAAAAAAAAACCACATTGGATCTAGTGTCCAGACTTTTGAAAACATTGACAAGAAAAAATACTCTTGATTCAATAAAATTTTTGCTTAAATCAAAACGAAATCCGCTCAAATTAAGAGACTTGGTTCTTGATTTAAGCAAAAATCCGATTGAATCAAGAGTTTTTTTTCTTTTCGATGTTTTTAGGAGTCTGGACTCTTCCAACGTGTTTTTTTTTCCAGTGTTGGCAATGGCAGATGTAGCCTGGTCCCTTTCTCCTAAATGCGCTCCAATTTTCTCTGCTCTTCCAAAAATGTATTCCCTGGTAAAAATTGGCAGTAGAATCTGTGTTCCAAAATATCATAGACCTACGGACGGCTGTAAGATTTCCAATAGCTTCTGTGGCCGGCTACACAATTTCCTATAACCTTTTATAGCCGATGGCGATTAAGCAACTAACAGCCAGGCGATAACGTATATTATGCTAAACGTCACTAATTACGGATGCTAGGACTTGGTGAGTTTTTCTGGTGAGACCACTGCTCTCTTTTTAGGCCGTAGTATCTTGATTTATTTTGCGAGGAAAGCTCCATACTTTTGATGGATGCCTGCTATTCCTAATATATTAGAGCGCCTTCAGTTTCGTATGACACTGTGCAATACCTCTGTTGTGAAATAGTTGCTTCAAGCGCCGTGGCACGCTGCGGTGCGGCAGGCGGGCAGCCAGCGCGAAACGCGCATCGGCGCCTACAAACCTAACAGGGATACTTCACGCTTTGCGCAATACGTGAAGTATCCCTGTTAGGTTTGTAGGCGCCAGTGCGTCGCCGCTCCGCTTTGTGTTGGGCTATAATATTTAATCTGGCGGAGTCAGCGTTTTTCAACTCATGATTTTGAAATGTTTGCACATCCTGTATGGATTATTCTCGTTTTAATTGATGAAAAAAAATATGTATTTAAGGAAAATATAACGTGTGTTTGTTTTGTAAATATTAAGGTGGTTCCGTATCAAACTTAATGATTTCCAAAGCACACGAGTTTCTACAAAATTTCTTATACCCTTTTATAATCGATAGCGAAAAAGCAACAACCAGGCGATAAAGTGTAAAGCCCGGCGATAGGAACTATAGCCCGGCTGCATACTTTTTTATCGCTTCATATAGCCCGGCCGTATGATTATCTCCGCATTCTACAGCCAGCTATATGATTTTCTGTAGCCTTCTTTAGCCGGCTATAAGAATTCCTATGGTATTTTGAAACGCAGCTCTTATCGCCAATTTTTACCAGGGTTCAAAAGGGCAGGAGCAATACGTACCACTCGTATCGAAATACTAGGGGGCCCTGCCCCCTGACCGCTACGCGGTCCAACCCCCGAGAGGGCGCCTCGCGCCCTACGCATATGTATAGGCAAAAATGTTCTTCCATTTTAATACACCATTTTTTGTTCGAGCTGCATAGATTTCAAAATTTTTGACGTAACACTCAGATTTGTAAATGATGAGAAAAAGCTGGATGTACATATACCTTGGACCTTGAATCTTGAACCCTGAGCGATGCACCGTTCCTCAACGCTTCGAATGAGGAGCCCTTCACGAGCTTTTCCATTGTTTTATTGTTTATTCGAGTCACTCAGGTAGAATCCCACACCTTGACGTTTCTAGCGGAAACAACATATCTCTCACGCTATTAACATTGGACTTAAGTGACATGAGCTTTAAAAGCTCTACAACATTAAAAGTTCGGGGTTTCATAATTTTTTGCACATCTACATCTACTACAGATGACATACATGTAAAGATCATCCTTATCGGTCCGGCAGTTCGTCAGAAATAGTGCTTCCAAGATTTTGCTTGTAGCTGTATAATATAGATTTCGCACCCCGCACGGTAGAGACGTAACATTTCACCGGTAAGTGCACACCGTTCAAGCACGGTAAAAGTACCGCACCCGCAGCGAAGACAAACCGTGTTCGAACAAACTAATTCGATAAGTTTGCATAAAAAATGGGACGACATTATTTGCATACTGATGACGGCGGGCATTACCGGACGAAGACATCACGCCTAATCTCTTTGTTCGGCTCGTTGAAAATCGGCGCTCGCTCCTGAGCACGACCAACGACCACCCATCTTCCACTCCTCCGAACGCGGATGCATCCACGGGTGCTTGAACTTTTAAGTTTGCTGGACTCCCGTGCTAAGGAAAAACGCCGTTTGGGCCCTTAGACGTTGCCAGATTTCCTTTGGGAAACCACGAATGGAGATGTTGTTGATGGACAGTTGCATGTGTGAGGAATTTGCGATTTGACTGTTGATTCTTATGTAAAAGTTCGCGAGAAACACGATGGTGCCACTGGTTTTCTCTGAAATCAACTCCCAAGCTCAAAAAAAGCTCTAAAGTTGAGGCCAAAATGGAGGGGATATCCCACCCTACCCTGAGAGTCCACGTCTACATCAAGACAAACTCTCCATGCAAAGGTAGGGAGCAAATACATTGACAGGGCTGCCACCTAATTTGGGGACTCTAAAACTGAAATCACGGCAACCCTGTCAATGTATTTGCTCCCTATCTTTCCATGGAGAGTTTGTCTTGATGTAGATGTGGACTCGCAGGGTAGGGTGGAATATTCCCTCCATTTTGGCCCCAACTTGAGAGCTTTTTTTGAGCTTGGGAGTTGATTTCAGAGAAAACCAGTGGCACGATCGTGTTTCTCGCGAACTTCTACATAAGAATCAACAGTCAAATCGCAAATTCCTCACACATGCAACATCTCCATTCTCGGAAAAATTTATGAATATTTGTCCTTCGCAATTTTTCATATAATTTTGTTCGCAATTTCACCTAAAGTTTCTGAAAATTTCAAGGAAAAGAGGACCACATTTTGCAATAAGGAGCCATAATTTCTGGATCTTTTTAGAAACAACATATGGATCGCATTTAGCAAAAAGGAACCAGCGCGAGTACAGTGTTGTGAAAAATTCGCTTCCTCATAATCATCTAAAAAATCTCCCAGGGTACCTACCGAACAGTTTTGACTTCCCGGAAAAAAATTGTTGATTTTATGGGCGATTAATTGTGTGAATTGTAATATTGTACAGTTATTAAGTATTTTTAAAAGAAAAGGAAAAGTCGCATTTGAAAACACCGTAATCGCGTTGATTCCTATTTGTCAAATGCGTTGCCATTGGTTTCCCTTTGCAGATAAGTATTTTTATGGAAGAGACAGAGATGGTGGTTCCTTAGTGCGAAATTTATTTCAAATATTCATAGCTTTCCTCAAAAATGAACATTTTATCGAAGGAAATTTGGCATCTCTCGCATGTTCACACGTCGTTTTTCCTAATCACGGCAGTAGAGAACTATCGTCTACGAGTACATGGAGGCATTAAATGTGATGCATGACACAGTTGACCTTTTGTTTATCTACCTGGGGATTTATTTCATACGATGATTCAGATGGCGGGTGAAAAATTCGAGCGAGTTGCTAGCGGTTTCTAAAGTTGATGAATAACAGAAAAAAAGTTTGGGTTGTTGATGTTTCGTGAAAGAGCGCGGAACAGAAAACACTCATTCTATATTTTAAATCCATTCAATGTAAGTATACAATTTAAAATCTGAAGTTTTTTCATGATATATTACGCGGGGCACACTGCTATGAGAACAAGGACAGCCAATTACAGCGCCTTCATTTTTTTAAACGCAATGCCGACATTAATGGAGCAGGAATAGCGTATAGGCGTAACTACTCAAGTTACATCACGTCTATTAAGTAGAAAACTGTTTCAGATCAATTAAAATCTTAGCAGATCCTAATTTCGAGTTATCGCAATTTAAAATTTTCATAGTAAATGCAAGATTTCTACTGATTTTGATCCGCTTCCAAATTCGCCTTCTGCTATGTCTGCAGCAATTGTCGCGCGTGCTGATTTTAGCTCATTGCATACTTGACTCTTTGAAGGCGTTTTATTTTTGCAAGTATCGCAGTCAGTCGGAGAACGAAGAAGGGATTGAGCGATTCATACAATCTCATGTCACATTAAATGTATACTTGCTGGGACCAACGTCTAATTTAAACGGTATTCAAATTAGTGGCCATCACAGTCATAGTCACAGTCATAATTGATGATAAAAACTCGTTTTAAAGACCATGAAACTGGCTCTTTCCTGCTAGTGTTTTTTTGTAGATAATTGGGATGAACTAATTGCAGAGTTATACATGTACTCGACTGTGTGTCTCAAAAATCTTCGGAGTAATTTTCTCCTAATAATCTGTGACATCTCAGTCGAATTTTCATGACGAGGATATCGACGTGTATTGTCCATATTCAAAATTTAATTCATGATTGGCGAAGCGTTATCAATTAAGACTGTGATTTTTTAGAAAATAACATAGCTGCGATGATAAATTCAAAACAACTTATTAATCCATTGAAATCGGAAGATCGTTGTAAATGAATAGGAATTCATTTCATAACTTACCTCTTGTCTGTACTTTTTTTCGGCCAGTTAAACAAAGTGAGACTCAAACTTTACGGTCTTCATTTTTTTCTTCACAGAATGTTGGCATACTGAACGAAAGAGGAGTAGAGAAAGAATATATGAATAAAAGTGCACCATAACTTTGAAATGAGCTCTTGACCGAATCTGTGTGAAGTGCCATAAATATGGACGAAACAATTTCGGTAAGTACGTATTCTATAACATCCTTTATTCAATCTTTCCTTGACAGTACAAAGTTCAATGGTGACGCTACATGTTTGAGGGTTTGAGGGGTACAATGACTCTTGAGATCTTTTTCAAACTGTGCATGAATCAATTTGATTAAAATTCGACCAACCTCAATTAGAATTTGGTGAAATTTAGGAGCTTCTCTCCCTTCTTGAGTTGCCTTTTAAGGCAAGCTGCCTGTCGAAGTCGATTCATCAATTAAAAGAAGCGAGGGGGGGGGGAGGCAGTGGCGTGGCGTGCTTTGCGGTAGATAGATTGATCTGCCATTTAAATTTATGAAAAAGGATCGATAAACAGAGAGTTCGCAACAAACTCCTTAATAATCAATTCTTTACCACAGATTCAAATGCGGAACTATCGATCGATCATTCACGCCTCGCATCTGGAGGGGACTGATGCTTCATTTGATGAGAAATGATGAGTAATTTAGTGAATGAAGAAAAATAAATAAAACAAACATTGATTCCCTCACAGGTGGGCCGAGACATGAGGTGGATTTTCATATCACTTCACGCAACTGTGGTGTCCCTTCTCCTTTCAACTGTGGTGGCTGAACATGGCAGTAAAAAGGGTAAGTTAAATCATTCCCTAATCCTCAAAAATAAGAGGGATATATTATATTGCAACGCAAGATTTATTTTTCGTCCGTCACTCTTAGCCACGGAGACACACTACACACCACTCCGCCTTCATTTTCGACACGGGCATTAAGTTATACATTCCTACATTCTCAAGTCATTCCAGGAGATCTCCAAAAGCCGCGCATTTTAACAGTGCTGCAAACCGAGAACAAAACCCGCGGCAACGCACGACGACTTCAAAATGATCCATGTCGAAGAATCAGTAACGTTTTATCCCTAAGTTACGGAATTTTATGAAAAATGAATAAAACTTTCAGTACTTAGTATTGGATCCGAGCATTAAACGAAAAATCATTAAGATTCCGCCAGGTAGCTAATTTCAAGCAGCACGGCCATGCTTATTTCAGGCTATACGTTTCTTGGCGGTAATTTTAAGATTTTTTCCTGCTTGCTTCAAGCTGATTTTGACTTGTTTCACGCTACTTTTTTTCCAGTGTGCAGATGGTGTTACCGCGACAAAAATTAAATGTAATATTTTCCAAAATTAATTTTTTCAGTGGAAATCATTCACTTGAACCCGAATTCGGACCCGAGTATGCTACCAGTATGGCACCACTTTCTATCGCTCGAGGACCTGGCACTTCGGGAAGATAAACCGAAAATACTGGGCCCGACCATTCCAACCGGATACGTAGTCAACAAGCCAGGCAGCGGTGGCGCCAACGATAGAGTAGACCCTCCAAAACCGCCGCAACCAATCGATAAACAAGTGAGAGATTTTACTCATGAGAAGTCAATATTTTTTAATTGGTAGGACAAGATTGGTAGGAGAAAGAACAAACATAAACGTGGTTTAATAATTTTAACTTTCGCCGAACCGCGCTGATCGCACTGTGTTCGGCGCAATGCGTGAAGTATTCATGCATTCTTGTAGGCGCTATCCGTTTCACGCTGACCGCAATGACCGCACTGTGTTTGATGCAATGGGTGAAGTATTCATGCAGTCTTGTAGGAGGTCCATTTCACCAGCCCCCCCACTTCCACAAAAAAATATGAAAAATATGCCATCGTTTTGTAAGTGTTTTGTAACGTTTTGTAAGTCTAAAAACAAATTTTGTAAGTCACTCCAAATGGTTCAAATGGATAACTACATTTTGGGGGGGCTGGAGAAATGGTATCCCCCCCACTTCGCGATCGATAAATTCTGACAACGCCAACGTTTTGTAAGTGTTTTGTAACGTTTTGTAAGTCCAAAAGAAAATTTTGTAACTCAATTTTTAGGGGGGATACGGCTACCCAAAATTATCAGGGTAAATCGCACCGTTCAAATATCCCGCGCAAAGACCACCGGATCTCGCCCGGATCTTTCTCGTTCCGTGCCATGTTGCCGCAGCCTTTCGACCTTTCCGACCGTTTCAGTGGGACAGAGATAAATCGTGTTCCTACGCTGCTTAGGGTTACATTAGGTCAGGTTATAGATTTTTTTCCCCGATTTTTGCTCTCGCGGTTTTGAGAGAAGCGTATATTTTTTAGCTAAAATCAAGAGGGGTCAGGTCGTTTACATTTCATAGGCACTTGAAAATCCGGTTGTTTCGGTTTAGACAGGAGATGGACCAATGAACATGGTCTGTTTTAAATAATTAACGGCACTCATTTTCTCTTGAAAATTTATTGTAAAAAATGATGCACACAACGAGAGGTTCGGAAAGCAACCGCTGAACGGGATACTCTTTAGTTTTTTAAGTCGAATCAGATTATGGTTCAACGGTACAAATGATCTCATTTATATTTTTGCCCTGAAAATAATGTTAAATGTGAGCACTTATTTCTTCTTCAGTTGCTCATTGCTGGACTCCACGCTTTAATGCTTTAATGCAGACCATGTTCATTGGTCCATCTCCTGTCTAAAGCGAAACAACCGGATTTTCAAGTGCCTATGAAATGTAAACGACCTGACCCCTCTTGATTTTAGCTGAATAATATACGCTTCTCTCAAAACCGCGAGAACAAAAATCGGGGAAGAAAATCTATAACCTGACCTAATGTAGCCCTAAGCAGCGTAGGAACACGATTTATCTCTGTCCCACTGAAACGGTCGGAAAGGTTGAAAGGCTGCGGCAACATGGCACGGAACGAGAAAGATCCGGGC